TGGAACAAAGTTCTTGTTTTCTGTTGGAGAATGATTTGGTTTCATTAGTCACCATTTTTTTATTATGTCTTTTTTATTTTTGTTAAACGCTTCAAATATAAACATTAAGGATACATTTTTTTTTTATTGAAAAGACTTAAGTCAGGGATTTTCCTGGTATTTTGTCACTGTGCAGCATATTTTAGATTTTCCCCCACCAATAAACCATCAATTTAAACTAAAAGGAGGAAGCTGAGAATCCTCTATGACGGAGGGATTAAAGGTCTGCAGGTGAATAACATTGACTGAAGCAGAATCATGTTCTATAATGAAGTAAAACCCTTTAATATTTTCGTTTTCAAACAAACTTATTTGTAAGCCAACAAGTTAAGTGTTCGGAGTATATAATGTGATATTATTTAAAAGCATCTGTAGCTTTAAAAATCAAGGGCGTCAATGACTTGAACCGTTTTGTCCTGTTTTAACCAAAAACATCTATTTCATTCTATATGAAAGACCAGATAGTGCATAACTGTGACTTCAATAGTAAAGGATAAAAGTATTGACATTTTTTTTGTATTATTACAAATCTGACAAGTGTATCAAGCACTGGTTTGTAAATCCCATGTCGAATCCTTAAAGTACCACCTTATGTTGTTTTTTCAGTCAATAGTTACACTAACTATTAGAGAACGATGTCAGTGCATATTACAAATATACTTTGCTATACTGTAGCTGAATCTTATTTACTATTTATCTATTAGTTGAACAATCACCCATTTTAAATCTTTTGCAGCCTTTTTTAGCTCCAACATTTTCACCATGTCCACGTTCCTTATTTGAGCCAGTTTGTTTCAGCTTTGCCTTTCTTATCAATACTGCAATACGGCTCCTCTTCCCTCCTTAAAAGACATTTCATCCCAGCGCTGCGATGAAATGTCTTGCCACCTGGATATTCTAGTCTGATTTGGCGATTATGTGCTTAAATACTGTATACACTGTATATGGTTAGATGCTGTTTTGTTTTTGACAGCCATCTTAGATTTAGTCTTAGTTCTCATCTTCAGGATGAAAACTATTAGTTTTAGCCACATTTTAGCTATTACTATGTGTAATAATTTTAGTCGGTTTTAGTCAACTAAAACTCAAAAAGGTTTTAGTCTAGTTTTATGTTGCAATTCATAAAACAAGTAACTTTTACAGTTTAAAATAACAACCAGATTATTTACCAGACTGACAGCTCTTGCTTAGACACTACAATAGCTGGGTATAGAATGTTGCCATGCAGTTCATAATTCCTGTTAGGCAGAAAACTTTGATTTATAGATTTCAAATAAACTTTTTTATGAATTAATGCCCTATTTTATACAAAAGTGTGTCACTAAAGCTGTATAAATAGCAGATCTAGTTCAACACGTCATATTGGTTAATATAGCAGACAAACAAGCTAACAAAACTTAAAATAAAGGAATGGTTTTAGACATACTATACAGTACAATATTTCCATTCAAAAGCAAACACTTGTTGATCTACTAGGAATTATGCATTACACACAGAAATATCAGACATTATTACTCCAAAAATTACAAACATTCTTCTTTCCACTTTGGCAACCCTTGGTTACTGCTGCTCAGGGCTCAAAGTAGATTTAAAGCTACAGTGTGTAATAATTACAGGGATATACAGTCAGAAATGTAATATATTATACATAACTATGTTATTTATCATCATCTACGAGCTCAGCCTCTTAACCTTAATATTTGCGTTGACTTAGAATTCGTTATTTATAATTACATAGGAGCGGGTCTCGCAGCCATGGAGGCAGACATCTTTGCTCTACGGCAGCGCAGAGCCAACAAACTAGCGATTGCGAGATCGCCCATTATGCTCGAAAGTAACTACGACAAGTTGAGAGATATGAACTGAGACGGTACTGAACAATAGATGGCAGTATTATGCCTGAGAATACTATCTGTAAAATTATCTATGTAAACAAACCTCATCACTTGAGAAGGTAGGTGATGCGGACGTCGTGGAAGACATTTTGTCCCGTAACACTCGCCGTACTGTTGGGGGGGAGAAGCGGTGGGGGGGAGATGTTCATGTTGCTGCGGTCTGCAGTCTGGACGTTAGATGTCGCTAAAAATTACACACTGTAGCTTTAAATTCATAGGAGTCTGACATAAAAATAAAAAAATACACAGAGAATCTACGTAATAGCCTTATAATACCATGGGAATCTGGAACAAAATTTCAATACGTTAACTAAAATGTTGAAATATTCAAATTGATAGAAAAAATAACTAAGAGAGAGAAATATCCAAAGATCTATGTACCCTTTCACCTGGGTCTTTGTCCAAAAATAAACAGAATGCAATTAAATATATTTGCATTGGATATAATTCAGGGATTCCTTTTGGTTGAAATTAAAGACGTTTTTGCATCACCGCTTGTGATCTGGAAGAAAAATCCTGAAAGTTAGACAAAAGGATACTGTATTTTAGTCTTGGCAGAAGATGATCAGCATATATTTTATTAAGTAGCGAGAGTACTGTAGGAAGAGCCAGTCTGCTGAGAGTGAACCATCTGTGTGAAGTGTAAAGTGCAGATTCATGCAAAGACGCATTTCTGCAGAAGTGCAGCTAGAAGAGCTGAGTTTTTCAGATTTAAGCACAGTACCGGACAATTCCGGCTTATTTTCACCCCTTCCACTGCTGCCATGATCCGTCTGTGGTCATGCAAAATGTGCACCACTGCACGCCAGTTCCCATTTAACTGATTCATTGATTAAAGCAGAAGCTTTGTTTTTTTTTTTTTTTACAAGGAAAAGTTTGGTTTGATATCTGTCCCTCTAAAAATTAAATAAACATTTAAACAAACTCTCCTTGAATTTAGTCGAGCGACCCGTAGTTGAGAACAAAATTTGATTGATAATCTAAATCACTTAAACTGACAGAAGCAAATCAAAATTGTGGCCCTTCTGGTATATTTGTGCACAATTCAGAATAAAGAATCACTGGGAGAGGTATAGGCACAAATATTTTAATTTATGGTGAAAACACAATGAAGGACTGAGGGGAGAAGATTATTGGTTATACTTGTCTGTAGTGATAATATCAGAATAGAGATAATTCCTCCCAATTAAATTTTTAACAGCCTCAGAGCAAAGATGGGTGGATAAGAGTTGGGAATTTGCTGTGTGTGTGTGAAGCTGCCATCTACTGAGATCAATTTTGATGCTAAATAAAGTGACAGGAACAGCGGCGCTCCCTCATCCAGATCAGTTGTGGCTGATAGAGAGGATCCTGCTGAGATGGGTAACAAGGTAAATGAATTGCAGTTTATTAACAGCTCCTTCTCACACTTCATCTGAGCTGTGAATGTTCCTTCAAACTTGTCGGTAACAGAAATGGCATAACTCCTCAGCAGCAACGTGTCCTTCAAGTTTCAAGTGTTCAGCCTGAATATTATAAACATTCTCCTCTCAGCCACGCTGATAATCTGAACCAGCGGTGCACTGTACATGAGGAGGAGGAGGGCTGGTTGCTAGGTTGCATATTCCTTCACTTGCAAAGCTCTTTGATGCGCTGATATGTTGCTGTGTGCTTTCAGAGACATGTGCCCACTCACAAGGCTGAGGTCGGGAACCACTGCAAACAAAGAAGATGATTGTGAACACAGATTGCAGCGTGTAGTCATGTTTTTCTTCAAATCAGCCCAACAACAGGAAGCAAATATCAAGGCAGCCTCTCCGATGGACAGCTAGACAGCAGCCGTCTAACCAAACTAACAAGGTGAGCAGACACTGGGAGCTGTTGAGGCGGACGTCCGTGCTTCTCCAGGAGGAACGGACAACAACTAGGCTGCCTCTGCTAATAAGGTGTCAGAACAACTCTGCCCCTCGCTGGGAGAACAAGCATACAGCTCACACTCAGGACCTCTGCAAGGTCCACAGCAGGCAGGGGTTTCACACAAGATAAGAGGACATGTTGGACAAAACAAGAGTATTATATTCAAATCAAAGCTACAGCACTGTGGGTTAATTTACCTGAAAAAGGGAAGAACTTGACATAGAGCTCAAGTCCAACCACAAGGTAGTCAAGCATAAACACAGCTTAGACTATAACAGTGTTTGATCTTTCATAGAAAGACAAAATGTGGTCAATAGGTAGCAAAATTTGTGGATTACTGGAATATAACATTTTAACCTTGATTGGCCGCGAAAAGTAACTAGCAAGACAGAAACTCAATAATCCAGTTTTTTTTCAATTAGTGCACCAATAATATCAATTGCAGTTTTCCATGCGGACGCTCTTATGGAATTAAATCAGACTCAGAGGTTCCTGTTTTCACTTTACTGAAACGTTTAGCATTAAGTCAGAGGTAAAAGCATGGGAGAACATAAAGAGTTTTTTTCCTTATATATATCAGGAAGTGCCTGAGCTACAATACTTTCAGCAGATTGCAGGAAGCAAAATGGAGCAAAGTTTTATCCTTTAGTTTCTAACTGGAGCTGGATATGGAAATGTTGAAAAGCATTTGAAGACCAAATGGTTGAAGTAAGGATAGAGTTCTGTTTTCATAATACATTAACACACAATAAAAGTACTTATCACTGACAAAAAAATGCTAACGACAGTGTTACAAATAAAGGCCATGAATAGTATAGTGGTTTAATAATATTATTAAAATTTACAGATCATATATGAAACCTAAAATTCTGATAATTGATTCTCTTGCTCCAAAAAGAGGGAAAAGAATCAGTTTGAAAGTTGTGCTTTTAGTTTATAAAATGTGTACAAGGAGCACTTAGTTATTCAGACACATATTTTTCCATTTGCTTCGTGCTTCTTTAATAATTAATAACTGAGAATCTTTTGTGGCGTTTGTACAGTTAAGGTTAGATTTAAATCATTTTAGAAACCAGTGAAGATGGAAAAAATGTGCAATAGGCGAAGTTGTTTAAAAGTCATATTTGCTTTTTATTGTGCTTTAATTTGAACATTTTTGTTCAGAATCTGAACCTTTTATTTTTGTGAAAAGGGATTATGCAAGAAATGATTCACCCATCATGAACAAAAGGAATCAATTGATGAGCAGCATTAAGATTTTAGCTGCCGATAAGCAAACCTGGCCAGTGCAGTGACATCTTCACAGATAAAGTGAGTCAAACTTTGTCTATTTGCACGTTGAAATTAAAGATCTAAAGACAATAAGGCCTTTATAGGATGAACCAGGCTTAGTGACTATCTTTGTTTTATTTGTCTCTGCTGCTGTGCTGAGGCTTATTTTGCTGCCTGCATTCTAATGAGACTGAAAGCGAGCAGGGGAGGGAGAGCAGGGGGAGTAGGAGGAAGGATTGTGTAACTCAGAGTTATATAACACAATATGCATGGCCTTCTCTCTCTCTGTCTCCAAGCTCCTCAAACAGGGAAACACAGAGTGCAGCAAGCAGCAGGAGAGCGTGGAGGGCTTAAAAGGGTGCTTGTGTTAATGAGGGCACTGTGTAGAGATGTGCGCCTCGCTAAATAAAATCATACCTCATTACAGCTGGGCTCCTAATAACGACGGTGATGAGAGTAAGTTGTTTAGAAGGTGGGGAGACGTGAAGGTTGAGAGTTTAGATGAAAACCCAGCCATCAGGTGATGTCTGCTTTCACCCTGATATTCCAATCTGGATGGTTTGTACCGTCAAGCATTTCCTGGACATTATTCTGTGGACAGCTCAGCCTTGGCAGCTTGATTAAATCGGAACGTCGGTGTTATCTGATGAGTCAAAAAAACAAGCCTACATATTCCTTTAATCACTCTTTTTTTTTTGTTATTAATTTCTACAAACTTTCAAATTTGCGTGTGCTCTAATCTTTTATTGTGAAAAAAATGCGGCTGTAAAAAAAAAATTAATTCAATAAGCAATCAATACTTTTATTTAGCTTATTTACAAAATACAAAACTACAAGCTTCATACAAAGAAATAATGAAAAACAAATGCTTTTATAAAATGCTGGGATTTATATTGCTCCATCACAGCAGCATTTACATACAGATGCTCAAGAATAGTTGACTTTTACGCAGAAAGTCTCCTCGGTTTTCTCCTCCAAGTTATTGACGTAAACCAGGATCTCCGCCGAGCCTGGACTCTGGGTGGGAGCAAACCGTAAACCGATGGGGTAACTTTCTCCTCCTCCAACCTGGACACAGTAAAAATAGCAAACATATTCTCTTCACCGTTCCAATAAAAGCTTAGTATTAATACTTTTTTACATGTATACAATATGCAAAAAGGGATGTACCAAACGACAATTGCATGTTGGATAAACCATTATTTACTGCACTTTACAGCTACTTTTAAATATGCCAAATAGTCCTTATTTTTTATTAACTTATCCATAGACTTACAGATAATATTACTACAACCTTACATCCAGTTCGTCATCAACCCTATAAACATCTTTCTTATTTTGGGCTTTATTTTTGGAATTGCTTTTACTGGTTATTGTTTAAGAACAACACAGAAACCACAGAGGCTCAATCCCGGCACATCAACACAGACTTAAAGGCTGTTACCCAATAAAACAACAGAAACCCTCTGTTCAAAAACAAGCATGAAAGAATCACGGCCGACTCCAGAGACATACTTATAATCTTCTTTCGGTGTCAAAGGAAAACCTTGACCAATTCAGCAATAACTGTTTGTAGAAGTTGATGCTTTAAATCTCAAACTACTGAGAGGGCAACAGATAGAAAAACATGGAAAGTGCCGTTGAATCTTTTATTATAATTTAGCAGTACAGAGGATTGAAATAGGTGGTTGGTTTAGAGCAATAGGAATCATCTGTCAAGCACGGTGGTGGCATCACTATGCTGAGGTTTTGTTTTGCTGTTGGTACTGTTGTAAATAAACCTATATACAGTAAGGCTTATATTGACAAAGAAAGTATCTTCTGTTGCTCAGAGTAACTGGAATATTGCAATGGGTGTTTTAACAAGACTCTGAATAATGGATACAGCAGAACATAGAGCTTCTAGAACAGCCCTACTACAATGCTACAGAGGATGTTTGGGAAATCTGGGTTCACATTATGAAACCAAACAATTTCCATAAATGATGCAGTATCTGCCATAAAGAGAAAGGCTGGTTTCTAGCCAGAATCAAACCAGAAAAAAAGCCACAATTTATTAAACCATGTGAAAAACAGTCATTATGAGAGAAAAAAGAGAAAAATCATTTCAAGTCAATGTATACAATTACAGCATTAATATGATGTCAACTTCAGACACAACAATGTAAGATTTTGATTGCTTAAGGCACACTGTGAACTTTGCGACCTAAAGAATCGACGCATATCAGTTACTTTAAATGATTCCTCAGGCCAAAATACGGCGCTTGACACCATCAATGCTACGAGAGGGGCTCTCCTCTTAATTTACCGCCTATGTAACTTGGGAGATGATGTACCGTCACTGGCCAGGTCATGTGACCTGGACGAACGTACCGTTTTATGGCCGCAGGCTCTTATAAAGTCATAGAGCTTAGGCTTTTGCTCTACTATATTTCCACCTGCTCGACTACTGGTCATGGCTGACGCAAGGAAAAGAGGCTTAAAAGAGAACACGTGAAAGGGGTCGTACGTGAGGAAAAACAAAAGTCGATCATGTAAAGGAGTTAGTTCATTGGTGTAGGCTGAAAGAAGAAGCCGAATGCAAAACCAATTCTCTTTCTTCAGCTTTATTATTACACTGGGATGTTAACAATTGGTTGAGCAGCCCGGTCCAGCTTGCCCCGGCGGTGCTCTCTGGAAAGCAGTAGCGTTTGCTTGTAGTATACCGTCGTATGTTTTTAAATATTTTCGATGTTTAGTAGGAGAAAAATACGATCAGAGAAAGACAACTCCACAGCCTGGATGTGTTAATCTCAGGCATTCTGTGCAAAAGACTGATTCCTACTTTTCATGAAACAAAACCAATAGAACATGGTAGTGATAATTTTTAAGCCCATGATACTGCTTTGTTGATTTTTTTTTTTTTTTTTTTTTTTTGTCATTGGCGGAGCGGCTGTTTTTACATGTGTAGAGCTAGCAGGCGTGCCCAAAGTTGGTCCTCGAGGGCTGCTGTCCTGCAGGATTTTGAATTTTCCCTGCTTCAGCACAGCTGATTTTGATTTTGCAGTTCAGCAAAAGCCTGTTAATCAGCAGTCATTAAAATCTGCTGTGCAAGAAACCTCTAAAGACACACAAGGCTGGCCGGTATAGGTACCAGATCTGCTCGGGGCCCTGCCCCTTCTCATGACGTAATCATATGGCAACTCCACTTGGACAAACTGTATTGCACCCGTTTCTTAAGAATCAGATCTCTTACGGAGTCTAAACATATTATTACCCATATTTGCTATTATTTTACATTTCATCGGCTATCTAAATTAGCCGAAAGTAGAAAATAATCCTTCTCAGTCTTGAAGGCAAGTAGGCTACTGCATTCTAAGACAGACTGAGCTCTGCCATTTAACAAGGTGACACAAAAAGTCTCAGTTTATTTTTATTCTTTTTATTAGGATCTATGGGCAGGGAAGGACAAATAAAACATTGTGAAAATGACTTTTGTAGAGATTTTAGACAAAGGAAACAACATTTATTCTACTTGTACAAAACGAACGGTTGTTGTTGACACCCTTTATATCATGGTCTTGCAGTTACTTTGTTCACCTTAAACATATTTTGTCAGTTTTGCTGTCCATCAGGTAAAACTTCATCAGTCTTTAGATACAGCGACGGGTAGATCTGGTACCTACACCAGTTGACTGTGTCTTTACTTTTGCAACAGCGCTGTGACACTAGCGCCCCTAGTTGCCAAGAGTTACACAGCGTGCCTTTAGGTAAGAAAAAGAATGATTTTTTTTTTTAGGAACATGTATTTGTATTTGTTTGATTTATGAGCTTTTCTTGTATTACAAGGCATTTTAGATGGTTACAAACATCTTTTTCTTTCTTTTGAATTATTACAGAGGTGTTTTTACTTTATTTCTGTATAGTATAATGACTCAAGTTTTGAGTCCTTAGCTGTGAATTCATTCATGCTGGGGAAAAAAACAAGACAAAAGGCACAAACTGGTCAGAATGCAAAGGTTGTATATCATGTAATAAAATGAGACTTTCTGTTTGACTGATACAGTCACACCTAACAGCTCTCAGATGCAGCTCAGCCCTCCTGACATTTACATAGATCTCAGCTAGTGTTTCTGTACAGTCATTACATCATCAGTCATTATAGCCATTATTTTGGGTTAAAACTAGAAAATATGTTTTGAGTTAGAAACAAACAGCTTAACTGTTTTCCTGTAAGCAAAGAAATGCTCCTACCTATTTCCAAATGCCATCTCTGAAAGGAGAAACAAAATAGTCTTTCTCATTCGTTATAACTTTCTGATATGGTTCTCCTTCTCACCCTTTTTCTATAAATTACCAGTTTCTCCAGGAAGCCTGCAATTTTCATTATTCTCTCTAATTAAAGGGAGAAAGTGCTGATGTTTTTGTTGTCAAGGCTTACAGCCTCCAAGGCAATAATTTGATGGTTTTGTTTGTATTCTCTTGGTATTTTTATCAGACATTATCTGTTTTTTTTTCAGTAACCGCATAAAATAAATAATCCAGTTGTGAACAATTTAGAGATTTTTTTCCCCCCGAAAACCTTCCAGTATCATTTATTGACTTATTTTTTTCTGAAGTTGTTCTGATACTGGGAAGACAGTAACATCAGACGGAGATTTTCTTCTTTGTTTAATGCAACAGGGACAGCAGATCCTTTATGAGATACCTGGAGATTTAGAGGCAAGGAGGGAAAAACAGAGGCAGCTTCCCACTCTGCCCACCTCATTTATAATGATGCACCATCTTCAGGCCAAACACAGCAAGACTCCTTAAATGTTTATGTGCCAACTGGCTCCTATTGCGTCTCACATATTGCATTTGTCTTGCTTCTTTACTATTCTGTCACACCAAAGTAAATGAAAAGGAAATGACGGCAGCAAGTAAAATGTTTATTTCAATAAGGGAATGAATCAGCAGGAGAAGCTGCAGCTGACCACAGGACAACAGAGCATCATAAAGACCTGCTTCATAATATTTCTCTCAATCTTGTCGGAAAAACAAACAAGCAAACTACTTGTCACAGCTGAGGACTGAACAATGAATGTTTCAAAATCAATCCATTCTTATTTAGTACCAAAACTTATACATATATGCAGCAAATGTTATTGGTATAACTGGAAAATATGTAAAATAGTGATTAAAATAAGTTAGTTTTGATACCGTAACATAATTTATTGGAGAAAAAACTTTGAGTTCACTAATGGAAAGATGGTTGTTGCTTATTAAAGGAAATTTCTAGTGGACTCCGTAATGGTATCCCTACCCATATCCAAAATTTTTTAGACTTTTAGACTTTAGACAGATTTTATTTGTCATTTTGTTAACACAAGTGTAAAACAAAAAGAAAATACAGCATCTCTTTAAAACATACTTTACATTTGAAGTAGCTCAATACCCAGAAACTTTTAGATATTCCTTGTTTCTATGGGGTATAATTTAATGTGACACACAGGCCAATTTTCTGACCCACCCTATCTTATATAAAAATTAACATAAAAGATCACCCAAGCGACATAGATATGAGGTGATATCTGTGAACAATTTAAAAATAGCACCAAAAAAGAGAAGCTCACCCTAACATATACATATCAAAACTAAAATAATGTAAAATCCAGACAAAAATCAAAGGTGTTCCTGGAATAATGCACAGAGAGAAGGAACGCACGGGAACTAAAAGGAAGACTGCAAGAGATGGTTATAGAATGGGTCACCTAAACTAGAATGACGAGATGCAATTTACATGCAAACTTGTTAGAGACTGACCCCAAGGAAATATATTTTTATGACTTACCACCACCTGCAACAATTTTGAAAACACTGGGCACCCTATTACTGTAGATTGCGTTCCATAAAAAAAGTATTTGTAATAACAGGAGGTTTTAGATAAAAGTCTTGTGGCGTTTTATATGAAACTAATAAAGGCTCATTTTAAATAAGCTAAGGAAAAAACAAATATGACCAACTTAACAAAAATGGTTCATCAGACACAAAAAACACCTTCTTTTTTAGCCATCCTAGCTACCAGACCTAAGTCCTACGCCAACTGCTGCAATAAAATATACACATATATATAGGCTGTATACACAGATTTTCTTTGGGTGACATTAGTTGTGGATGGTGCAATTTTGTATCTATAAATGCTCTATAGCTTTAAATAAATCATTATTTTTTGATAATCAATTTGTTGATTGAAACATGTGTTTTAATTGTATTCATTTTGTAAATAGACGTGATACAGCATCAGTGGTGTTGAGGGAGAGAAGGATCATAATACTGCACATGTAGCAATTGCTGGCTAAAGCTCCAATAAAGCATCCCTTTTAGCTTCTCTGCAGCTCAGTCTTTGTTGCATTTCATATCAATAAAGAATTTGTCACAAACTTAATAGCTATTCTACATCGACTTCTGCTGGAACAAGGATTGATGTTTCACTTTTAGGAGTTCATGTCATGGACCGTCAACAATGCTGAAATTATTCCCAGCATGTTAACAAGATTAATCCTTTAATCTAGAGAAACTATCTGTGGAAGGCAGCTGATGAGCTTTGGTCAAGGCTTTAATCAAACTATTGATTCCAGTGTTAATGAAGCGCAGAGAAGTGTAATGCCTCCCGTCTTATCTCACCTGGAACTTATCCTCTCTGAACTGGAGCAGGTCGGGATGGTCGGAGCGGAGCAGAAATGTCCGTGTGCTGGTGTAAGGGTTGGTGTAAGTGATTTTTTTGGAGCTGCCACGCCCATTACCAACTGGAACGGACACTTCGAATGCCTGCAAACACCCACGTACACATCAGTTTATGTCACACTCACTGGTCACTAAATTTCATAGTGAAACATGGTTACAGTATAGAATCGCATCGAGATTAAAAACAAAGAGCAGTAGTCCCTGTTGTTTGAATTATTCAAAATATATAAGAAAATATTACATTCCTTATTAAAGATTTTAGATTCATAAGAAGCAGCTGTAGTAACAACACCAACCACGTTTCACATACTGTCTCATGGGAGATGAAAAAAAAGGCAAATATTTATTCTAAAATCAGCAGAGAAACGAACAAGAATCTGGAGCAGGAAGTCTGTAAAATCAGTCATATCAGTCTCTGCAGATGAGAATGTTTAAATATGTACAGGTATAGCTAATAAATTGATATTAATACAAAAAAATAAAGAAATAAATTATTTATTTTTTCACTCATTTGATAAATATAAACTCTTACCTTATGTCTTAATGTAATATCAATTACAAATAGTACAATATTTAAAGACTAACTCTTCATTCCTATAATCTGAACTGAATCATTTCTAAAGGTGTACCTTTAAATAGACCCTCAGTGTGGGTCATTAGGATAAAATATATTTTTATTTTTATTGAAATCTAAGATGTTTGAGGACCAGAGGGAAGTTACAACAGTCAAGGATGATTTGAAGTCCCATGTCAGTTCCTGGAGTTGATGCATTGTGTCTTTTAAAATCCACAGTCAAAGCAGCCATATCTGATTAAGCTTCATTGGTCTATAAAGATTATAACGACTCACACTTTATTTTGCAGCAGGACTCTGCTCTAACTGGAATCACACTAATAAATGCTGGTTTGATGACCATGACCGTACTGTGCCTTTCCAGAACCAAAATCAATAGAATATTGTGAAGGGGAACAAAAACACCAAAACGAACAATTCAGATGAACTCATAGCTGCCATTAAATCAGCAGAGGCCTCCATTACTCCACAGCAGAACCAGGGTAATTACCTCTATGCCATATTGATGCATTAAGTCATGGGGAAAAAAAAGCCAACAAACATTTGAAAGAATAGAAATGGACACAGTTTTCAGAAAAATGATTTCTGTTCATATATGTGCGAGAAATTGACTTTTGGTTTTTCATTATCGGCCATTATCCTGAAAATTTAAAAAAAGGGCCATAACATGTGAATGAGCCAGTGCAAATAGTTTCAGGGTAATCCCTTTTGCTTTTAAGCCCCCCAAAAGCTCCAAATTTGTGATAAAAATTCATTTTAAAAAATCCCAGTTGGATATAATTTTTTCATATATATATTTTACTTTTTAAGCAGTTCTGTAAAGGCCAAATTATACTCTATTAAACGGTATTACTATTGAATGAGTGTTTGACCCATATATGAAATATCCTTTGTTCGAGCCTAAGGTGCTAAGAAGTGCTCACAAAGTGAAATTCAATAAGGAAGATGGTGCAAAATGTATTAATGACTTGGATGAGAAATGTATAATCTGTTGATTTTTCATGATCTATGGCCAATAGTCTGCAAACTGATGATTGATGATATAAAACAATTACTGTCACTTTTTCCTAATTTCTATTGCAGACCTATATATATATATATATATATATATATATATATATATATATATATATATATATATATATATATATATATATATATATATATATACTGTATATATATATATATATATATATATATATATATATATACACATTAGAATTCAAAACAGCTAACACACCACAGGGTTTATTTACACTAAAACTTGATATTCAAAAATTATAATTTTGTTCAAATTTAATAATAAGAAGTATGGCAGCTTAGTCAGATATATCTTATCTAGTTTGGTTTTAAAAACTTCTCTCTCTGTATCACTATTATAAGACTACTGCCTAAAGAAAAAGAACCAGTGGATCTCCCTTTTCACAATGGCTAACAAATGTGATGCCGATTGTTTTCTTAAAACCTCTCTGGTTGAGGATGAGAGCTTGTCATTATGTCAGACGAGGCGAAGCCCAAAACTGAGGAGGAGCCAAAATAGGTGGAAAACCAAATATTTTCAACTAAATAATTTGTTTTTTTTTGGCCACTTTATTTAACTTGCCTGTCCCCATTAAAAAAAAGCATAGCCTCCATATCAAATAAGATTTATTTTCTTATGGATTACATTTTGAACCAAAAATAAGTTCAGATTGCGCCACAGAACAAACAGCCTCCAAGCAGAAATATCAGCTGTTGAAGCCGGAGCCACCAGTCAAAAGAAAAGGGGGAGCAAAGCTGGTAAATATCAAATCAGTTCCAATAAAGCAAACAGATGAGCGGACTGGGAGGGTTTTGGGGTTAGGGCTACAAACATCAACATTTCAACATTAAGCCTTTCCTTTAAAGTTAACCTCTTAACATCCACCTCATTTTGGGTAATCCTGACATATTTTGCATACCAAATGCAAAAGGAAATAACTTAGGAACTGCAAAATTGGGTGAGTGGAACACGAATCAAGCTGCATCAGTTCAAACATGACTCAAAGTTAATAATAAGTCAAATTAACCATAACTATGTTTAAATCTGTGTTTAAGTGTCAGAGAGACAGAACCTTCCTCATTTCTAGAATTTACTTAAGATGTTTTATTTAACATTTGTTGGAGGTTATTTCATGGGATATGTTCTGTAGTATTTATTATACATGTAGTTAAACTGCATCATCCAACATATTTAACAATGTCCGAGTCATTTCTTAAAACTTGTAAATGTAAAAAAAAGCCAACATATGATTTATTTTCTAAAATTCGAGAGAAACGGCCTCCTACCTTTGACAGTACAGGACGGTGGACATTGAGACACAGCAGCCAGGCAGCGACCAGCCGCTGCTGCTCCATGTCTACAGCGTTCACATACAGGAAGCGGCTGCCGGCCTGCCATGGTTGGACTCTTAGTTGGAGCTCCTGCACAGCTGCAGGAGGCAAAACAAACACACCGGCTGGGTCCACCTACAAAAGAGGTAAGGGCGGTAAAGGTTGATTGGATCTGGCAGCAAGGTGATAAGATGCTGTTGATTAGGTTATGAGAATGGGGACGACACAATAAAGGTAAGCAGAGCCATTGAACAAGTGACAGAAAGAGTGCGACAGAACAGAAAAGAAGGGGTTAGAAAGAGACAGGGCTAATAAGACAGGGAGTTTAAGAGTCAGAGGGAAATAAAGAAGGTGCCCAGCCCATTGAAAGAAGGGGAGAGAAAAGTAAGATGTGGAAAAAGCAAAGTGAAGGGAACAGACAATGAAACGAGAGAAAGCAGAGGCGGAAAAGTGACATACACAAGGATGTGAGATTGAGCTTTACTGTGCAGCTCTTTTTCAATCTGCTCAGAGAAAAGCAAAGCTATTCTCTGAAGCTGAGCTTTATCCTGTTTTGTAAGACTCCTTCAGTGCATTCCACAGTCAGCCAAACCTGCTGAGAGCCAGATCAAAGCTGCCACTGATGCATACGGTGAACTCTTTGAAAAATACATCTGTCACTTTCTCAGGCGGTACCCTATTTCTACAGGGTAAACATGTTTAGGTCGTACAGTGAGCACGCAGGGAAAACTGTGACAGTCCATCATCCCCTTCTTTGAATATGGGTGAGCATTATGAAATAACTCTGAGTGAGAAGCCCTGTCTGTCTGCTGTAGTTCTCAGATACAAATAAGAAGTGATCTGAAAAAAATAAAGGGCTATATGCTGTGCATGGAGCACATTTCCCTGTATTCAGATAACTGTGGCTAATTTTTTTGTGGTGGAACATGATCTAACATCATCGCAAAAGGCAGACAACCCTAAATTTAAATGACATTAAAAAAGACACATGCTGTCAGAACACACTTTATTCTTGATAATGACTTGAATAAGAACCTGGGGGTTATTGCGAAGGAGAATGCTGTTATCCCCCTGCTTCATGCTGCTATGAGCTGCTGGAAGGACAATTAGCAGAAAATCATTTCTGGATGTGTACTGGGAAAAAGCTTTAATTTTGAAAGAAGATAGTAAAGCTTTCAGCTTTTTATTTGAATATCAAGGCTCGAATTGTTTGGTTTCAGCTAGCTTTGCCCAATTAACTTAAAAGTACAAAACAGTCAGAAAAATTCAGACTCATTGAAATTTTTTTTACGCTTTTGTTTTTCTTTGACAATACATCCAAGCACAAATGCATACAAAATATCTTGACAGAGTTGCTTAAATGGTCAGGTGGCAGAAAGGACTCGATGCTTTGTTTTCCAAGTTCAAATATCATATTTTCTGTAATTAAAATTCCTTAAATTCCGCTACCTTAACTGGTTCTGTACTGCCCTTGAAACAATGAATTAAAAACTACTTACTGGAACTAATAAATGTAGGCATTCTGTTTAGTTTTAGGTGGCTGAGTTTCTGCTTTTCATAAGAACTGCAGAATGGAGCAGAGACATTGCAGTTCTTACATTAACCAAATTGAAAGAGTTGGATTTAAAAATTTGTAGATATTCTGTTTTCCAAGTTTTGGGATAAACAGTAATGTGAAAAGTTGATCCATTATGTTACAGTGGTGCAAACCTGGAAACAAATGTGTAGTTAAAGAAAAAGACCATTAACTAAGCATCAGATATTACATATACAAGGCTATGGACTGTTAAAAACTGTTAATATCTTATATAGAAAAATCTTTTTTCTGTAGCTGAGCAAGGAGTCTGAAGCTAAGAGCAGGTTCTAGCTGAACCAAGAAGACCAAAGTTTTGAAGAAAACTCTAACGTGGAGAACATCATGGCAGTTTATGGGAATAATGTCCTATGAATTTTTAATCATTGTCACAAATTTTCAGAAGCCAGCAAGGAGGAAGATCGCCAGAAAAAAAAAAAAAAACATGTATAAGGAGATACGGAAATGTTTATTAAGGTAAAAAAATAAGAAAATATTGTTCACTTAAATTTTCAAATCCTCTACATTTTTTTTGTTCTTAAGGACGTGTTTTAGTTATAATTTTATTATTACCTGGGGGGACCATTGCCTCTTACCTCCATTTACTGTGTAAATAATTATCATTTGCTTTGTAAATAACAGCCTAACACAAAAGTTATGACAGCTTAAAAAATAAATAAAACTGGGTTTTGATAAACTGCTGTGACGTTTTTAAGATTGCTTGTTTTAGACAATAGATATCAGCTTTGGTCTATGACCTTCTCAGACTAGCTATTAGCTTTAGCCTTAGGAAACAATTTATGTAAGTTTATAATAAAGAAGCAAGAATTACTCTTATCTACAGCAGATACAGAACATCACTATGATTTAACTTTAACATAATTTATGACATGTATGTAACTTCTTATCCTCCCTTGTCATCTATTATAACTTACAATGTTTGATTTTGTGTGACTGAATTCTATTTAATCCCATTTAACTATTTGTCCCAAAAGGACCCTTCAATGACACGGTGAGGCAAGTACATTCTAGAAACATAAAAAAGGGTAAAAATGTTACACATTTTTCTATTTTGCTAAACAATTGTTTACTAAATATGTTCAGATGAGCAGATGAAGAAGTTATAAACAAAATGTTTTTAGTCTAAGGGGTCCAATGGATAACAGTTTCTGACAGAGGGTTCTCAGTGGTCACTTAATTTCAAAATATTTAATTAAATCCCCGTTTTGTCCAATTAAATGTCATAAAACAGAGAAAGAAAAAAAACTTCCCCAATTTGGAAACTCTATCTAGAGTGAATAGGAGCCATAAAAACAATATATTTGGAATGTGGCCGACCAAAATTCATCCAGAAGGTCTCATCATAAACCATAACTGTAAATTAGAGCTGACATATAAGACTGATTTGACAGATAGCTTAAACATGTCAAAGGCAACAAATTAAGCTCCAAGTATCATACAGCTGCTAACAATAAGCAACATGATCATCTATATAACTGCTGCCGTCTAAGGTAGCAGTGTCAGATATTATTTATATAGCAGCTCACATTCTGGCAACAAAACATGAGTGTGATGTATATTAAGGTTAAAAGCGTACTTAATAAATATTCAGAGCATACTTCTGCAGGACACTGAAAAGAACCTTAATAAAATACAAGACGATCTACAGAATTGGCATTAAATAATATACTGATGACATTCTCTGACCAGATGTTAGGCTGAGGCCACTGATCCAGGAGTAGAAGATCTTTTTCTCTCTTTTTTGAGATTTTTACGGCACTAGTGGATTTGAACCCGGGTCACAAGCCTCGAGGACTAAGGCCTCTGTCGGTTGTGCACGCTAAACATGCCCTAAAGATGGTATTTTGACTGAATTTAGAATATTTTATAAAACGTCCTCCTCTTTTGGCGATACCTTAAAGTAAAAAAAAGGAACGAAAAATATGCATCAGATTTGTTTTCTGTAAAAGTCTAAATCAGCAAAAGGTGCAACAGTAAAAATAGCTAGAGAAAAATCTGAGCTAAGCAACAATAGGAAAGCTAATCTGACCAAAGAAAGTACCTTCATTTTATGATTCAATTTTCAACCTCCATTTGCTTCGATACAGAAAATGTCCGCAGGAATATTTATGGTCCAACGCATTTATGCAGAGCGGGCTAATGCTAAAGGTGTTAAAAATAGCTTAAAAAAATGTCACCATCATACGTCCATGGCTATATTGACCCAAAAGAGGAAACTACTCCTAAATAAAGCTGTCCCGTGTGACTTTCCTCAATCTCTCAAGTACACACAGGATTACACCATCGCTCATGAATAGTTCATGTTTGTTCATGGCAGAAAAGCTTGTTATGGAGGGATTTTGTCGCCGAATATACCAGCCTTTCATACCAGTTTACACATTTACACACTAATAAAGCTACAGAATTGAGAGTAGCAGCCTTTTTTTTACAGCAGTCATGTTCTGAAGTCAATTCAGCTCCGACCCCCGACTTTCAGCTGTCTGTAAACAGATTTAGCAACTCTGTAATGTTAATGTACGCATGAAATTACTACTCCCCGGCTTGCTATGCATCCATTTATCTGGTATATATTAACATTAATCAATATTAATAACCGCGGGCTGACAGTGCATTTGCATGCATCTATATTTACCCCCAAAACTGGGATCAAATCACCACCCATGTTAAAGTAAAAGCCTTTATCACTGTGAAATATACACATATTTAAATTAAGATATAAGTTTTAGAGCAAAACCCTGTAACAGATGGTAGAATCATGACTTCCCTTGTACCTGTTAACAATCTAAAGAATATTGATATAAGCATTTTTTTCTAAAATGGAAGAGCATCGGGTAAATTTAAAGCACAGAAGCTTAACTTATTTATTACTGATTAAAAGGCAGTACCTCAATTTCACTGGGGTGTGATGAGAAACATTTGATCTTGCGAACAGCCTGTTTTCCCCTCAGAACCAGTGATTGACAGCTTCTCTGGCCAGTCACACAGCTGACGTCCACCCGCTCCAGAAAATGGACATAAACCTGCCAGATCTGAGAAGGCGCTGCCATCCACTTATCACTGTCAACGAGAACAAAAAAAAAAAACTACAGTCAAGAACAATTCAGCTAAGGCTCCCTGGAGATACAGCGGGTGCAGCGTGGGGTTGGAAATCACAAGAGCTGATACACGGCTCTGCAAGTATTTTAATAAGTACAAACATCACAGCCTTCATCACCATCATCCATTCAGAGCTGAGATGAAGGAGAACAGAGTCTCAGAAGCCGTAGCCGACTGTGAGAGTGGGAGGCAGCATAGTCACCTACTCAGTTCTGCTCTGAGACAACAGCAATCAGGAAGCCTTTGGGGATTTTTCCAATGAAATTAAGGCGGCCTGAGCTTTCGAGGGCTCATGAAACATCAGTAACATTTGGATCTTCTGATGAGGTGCAGTCGGTGAACTGTTGTGCACACTGCATTCGTTATTTCACGCTTTCCCTAGATTTTCTCTAATGTTTAAGGATTTTTTCCCTCAGAAATCAGAGCTCCTTAAAACATCGAAATCACATCCTGATATCTAATGCTGATGGCTAAATGTATCAAAAATTAACTTTAACCGACATGTTAAAATGCTACAATGTACAGCTTTGATGAAAAGAAGAAAAGCACTTAGTTTAAGTAGTAGCTTTTTATCATTGGTGTTTCAAGGGATTTATACTTCTTGGCACTATTTTCCCTTTTTCCGAACAAAGTCACTGTGGCAGATGATGAAGCTGGCATGAGAAGCGTGCACCTGCCATTAGAACCAACTTGGGGTTCCATGTCTTACTCAAGGACACTCCTGCATATGGAAAGGAGATGCTGGGGATTTGACCACCAGCCACAAAGCCTGCTTCACCAGCTGAGCCACACTTACAGAGGAGAATAAAAACTGTCTGCAGTGAGCAGTACTAGTAGCTAATGTTTAAAATGTAAAAATAACTTATCTATTTCCGTAAATATATCACATTCAAAGAAAGATAATCTATGTGCATTTACTAAATTATGGGTTAAGGATTAATACAGTTTGATTCAACGGAAACTAAACTAAACTGAGAAGAAATGCAGTTTTTCAGGGTAAAAGTCTTATTTATGTCAAAAACATAAATAAAAAGTTTGTTTTTATGGAATGAAAGGAAGAACATTTTGAGTTTGCTTTTCACCAAAAGCTGTGCAGGTTACATATGAAAGGAGTCAAAGAAGGTGAACACTAACTTCTATGAATGTACCATCAAAAATAAAATAAAAAACATGCTAGGTAGCAATATTTTGTGGGTGTTTTATTTATTTTCAACAGCTGATAGAGAAGTTGGTAAATTAGATTGGGCAGATGCTCACCTTCCTGCAGGACAAGAACGCAAAACATTCGGCCAGTGATACGATACAGTTGGTTTATATCGAACCTTAGATGAAAAAGAATGCCGCTGTCAAATGGAAATACCTATATGAACTCAAGGATGTGTGGCAAGAATTGCATGCAATAGTTTTCAGAGTTTGTATTGTAAACGTGTAATTATTTAATTAAAAATATTTTTACAAGTTGAAGTGGATTCTAAAGTGAGAAATGTTCAAAGATACCAAGAGCCTGATCTATTGAAATTCTTAATGAAGGGCTCTTAATTGTTTGTTCAAATGAGAAAGAAAAACAATAATCAATTGTGATCTACTGAGATTGCATGAGCAGTTAATATTCGTGCTGACCAGGGGATTTTAAAGAGAATTTTAGAGTTATGTATTTCAGTTATCAACTTGTAAGAATGGAGTCTAGGACATCCTTGTACATCCTAAAGACAGTCGCTATGGAGGATTTTTCCAGCCAAATATCAAGTGCACCCATTTTCAATCTGAGAGCAGGATTTCCTTTGCTTCCGCCCAAAACTTATAATGCTTCCATTCAAAACTTCTGTTTTCTGTCTAAACTAGTTTCTTCTCCATAAAAATCTTTGTTTCTGCTCTCAGATCTAATTCTTCTTTGCAGATATATTTTCTCCTCCTGTTAACTGTTAACTTCCTTCTCCTCACTCGAGTCAGAGATTCGCTCGCAAACCTGTTGGCTCTGCCTGGGGATTTTTTTCACTCCTCAGACTGGACTTGGATCGTCGCCTAGCAACCTTTCCAGCCAATAGAATGTCAGCCTCAGAAAGGGTTCGCTTGTTTTTCTCTACAGTTAACATGTTAGTGCTCTAGCAGTTCTCCTGTATCCTGAAGAAAACAATTTAAAAACTAAACAGGAAATAAAACTTTTTTGTATTTACTTTTACTAATGATCATCATTCCAAATTCATAACTTGAACAAGAAAGACAGGTGAAAGCAGCTCCTGCATATGATGCATTCATTGCCATACAGCTGAGTAAATAGAAGCAACTAGATAGCAACATAAAGAGAGAAGATCTTCATTTCTGAATATATTAACACTTCTTAACAACCTTCATATCCATCAGGACTGCAGCCAATTACATACATTTTGGTATCCTTTTAGAAGACAAATTTGTTGCAAGATACTTTTACACTTGATCTGATGACTTTGATTAAAAGTAAGCAAAGCATAAATGAGTCAAAGGCAATGCAACACTCCCACTGGCTTCCACATCTTAAAAGAAACTGGCAGTGCTGGACAGCACACCAAGAAAAATACTCTGGGAGATGACCCTACTTTACCTCCAGTGATATGCAAGACTGATCCATCCAGTTATGAGAAAAAACACTGCTGCCAAGTGCTTTTCCATACAGGCCAGCCTCTAATTCAGACTAAAGCTCATAGATGGATGGTATGACTTTACTACTCTCATTGCTGACCATCCAGATACGCTGAAATACTAAGGATTCTCTCGCTCCTTAATGTCAATGCACCTACATGCTTTCCTTTCGCCAAAACATCTGCAAACATTTTTGAGTGCGAACGGCCTGTTTCACCTTCTTTCATGATGTTCAGTGTCGACTAAATAATGAATCCTAAAAGTCTGAAACAGGTCACCTTCCTGTTCTTAGTTTAAACCTGTGTTAACATTTAATTAATCCAAAATGGACAATCCTTCAGGCTATGTTTGTGTTTACTTTGAAGAGTCTACAAACGATACATACGTGAATATCATCACAAAGAACATCTTTATCTGTGGACTAGGACTCCCTGGTACTTTCAAGTACACATCCTGAGGCTCTCCTGGAACCTAAACACAAATAGAAATAGAGAGACATGTTAAACTGGAGGCGTAAACTGATTAAGAGAGCAATGACAAGTTTGTCTCATCTGATGCATGATCTCAAGGTAGAAACATGGTTAAAATGCAAGCCTGGGGTATAAAAAAAAAATCTATTTATATTCAATCACCAGTGTTGAAATCTGCAAAGGCTACTGAGGGATTCTTATAGTCAGAGGAGAAAGATGCAGGAAAATGATGCCTCACCAGCATCCTCGTCTGGCAGATGATATTAGGGTCACTGCAGCGAACAGAAATATGAGTCCAGAAATTTGGGTCCTCAGCTGGTTGACACACAAACAAGAAAATCAAAGCATTTTTTTTTTATCTTAACAAGAGAGACTAGTGTTAGAGGGAATATTTAACCATTTATAGGAGAATTTTCTATTGATTACAGTAGATTATATAGATAGATGTTTAATTTGCTCATTTTCATCTCATCATTTAGCCCTCCAGATGTAAAATACATTAAATTTAATGGCTCAGAATGAAACAAAAACACATTTATCTCAAGTAGATCTACCACACATCTAGTCAGTGCAGCTAAAAGGTGCTATCGGCTTTGGTTCAGATAGTGATAAATGGCAGGGGGGTGTGTAGGACAACACGGACAACCTGTTGGGTCCTGCCACGGCGGCAGGCGGATGGCCTTCTTGAGGAAAGAAAGTTCAGGATGGTAAAGTCGGAAAGTCTGGTCCACGACGTGGGGTGTTGGCTGCACATTCACTTGGCAGATGGCCATCGGCTTTCCATCTTCTGCTCTAAATGTAACCTGTGGGAGGAAACATGATATGTCAGCGGTATGCACGGCATGCTTGAGTTAAACGGAATTTTCTTTATGGAAGTGAGTGACTTCTTGCTGTGCTGCGCACAAAGATGGTGGGTGGCTCTAAAAAAGGTTAAGACAGGATAAGCTTCTTGCTTTAAGGATAAACAATATATTAGCATTGTTGTATTTTTAATATCCTGTCACACTAAGACATATATTAATAATAGGCCGTGATGTTAAGGTGTTCCCTGCACCTCCGTGTGCTGTTTAAAACTGCCCTCATGTCATTGCAAACCAAACTCAGATTAATTGTTTATTACATTTCTGTAGACGAGAACAAATCATTTATATCTTCAAAAGCTTTTCAGTGCATCCATAAGGAGACAACAGCTTCAAAAATATGTGTACATAAATCATGGTTTTGTGGTGAGCAACATAGGTTTGCTATTGATGCATTGTAACATTTGTGTGGAAAATGGCACACCCCAGATTCTGTGCATGAGGCTTATATAGGGCTTGTAATTGAGTACAGTAGCAAACTTAGTCAGTGAAACCAGTTTGGACCAGCAACAGAAATAATTGGCTTCAAGACCACAGAGTTCTTTACTTTACCTGAATATTATCTCATTATTTATGAGTTTCTACGAGACCCTTTAACAAACTGGGCCTCTTTAGATGTTTAGAACAGAATCCTTTCCAATTCCTTACTTTTATTTATTACCATACAGATTATTACATCTATTTCCTAAAGAAGTCAACTCATAACAGTGATAAATTATTAAAACGGCAACACGCTGAGAATCTTTGCCTCTCCATATGTGCTACCATAACATAATAAGCATGATGTACACTAGAATACAAATTAGCTGCTATCTGATTATCTAAAATCTCCAATGGCCATCGGAGAAGCTTTGAAGACAGCTGCAGAGCGGCCAGCATCATGAGCATTAATCAGGATGTGTCAAATAAAGACTATTTTATGTTTGTTTTTTAAAGAGATTACAAGTTTTATGAGAACTTTAAATATGATTAACTTCTTCCTTTGTATTCTGCAAAAATGCAACTTTTGAACACAAAAATAAACACATTAATAATATAAAGATAGTTGATTGTTTCATAAAATACAAAAAAAATCCAGAAACAATAACAAGGCAAATAGTTTTTTTCCACAGCCCCGTAGCATCATATCTAATGAGTGCAACATTGTTTGAAGTTAAATCGGGGTAGAAAGAGATAAAAAAGCAATAATATCGATTTCTTCAACTCTAACTGGAGTGTGTTGTATTTTTCCTCAGCACTTTGAGTTGCTAAACTATATTCAAACAAAAGCAACCCTGAACAAAGTGTCATAATGCATTTGATTCTTACTGTATGACTCAATCCATCAAGGTCAGTTCAACCTTTCTCCAGAGTCACTTAAAGCTTTTTTTTGCAGTTAAATGTAGGCTAGACTTGGATGTTTACTTGCAGAGTTTTCATGGTTTCTGAAACCTTAAATTGACCTTTTTTTTTCCCTTTACCTCAGATCCTAATTAAATTACAAACTGATGAGACAACAATCTGGAAAGGAGATCCTTTGATAACCTTCTCTCCCTTTCAGAAGATCAATTAGGTGAATTTACAGAGCTAAGGAGCTTCTTAGAGGAGCTGATGGATCCTAAAGTGGGATTCCACTTAAGAGGCTTTCAGAAACCTTATTGAAAGTTGCATCACCGGTGAAGAAGACAGGTGGGAAAAAAAAGTTAACTGCCTCTAAAATACTTACAGAGGACTTCAAAAAACTAAAATTCTTAAATTCAACTCATGCTTCTTTCTTTATATTTATGTAGCTTAAGTATAAAATAAATATATCCTTCATAGTGAAAATAGGACGACTAATGGGTAAACTTATCCTGTCTTGTAAGTTAACCTCCAACAATTTGCTCACTGAAAGCGGAGCATCTGTTCGGACTGTGGATGTTCTTTGCAGCCACATGCTGACCTGCAGTTGTGACCTAAATCTTGCTGTGGTGATGTATGCTGACTGACAGTGGAGCCAAAGCTGGCACACTGACAGCTCTGCTGTTGAGACTTGTCAGTTTTAGCGGGATACAGATTTTATCCAGACCTGACCTCTCTGACCTGTTGACATATTTTTTTCTATTATTTTTTTTTAATCATTCTTATTTTTGCTCAGAGCTGCATTTCTTACCGACGCAGAAAATACACAAAATGAAGTTTGTGAAGGGCAAATATTTGGCAGACTGGCAGATATTCATCAGCCTGTGTAAATATGATGACTTCAAACTACTGCAAATGAACATCAGGAGGAACACGTTGTAACGCAGGTTGGTGAGGGATCTTAGAGATGCTGTTTGTAGAAGATCAAAGCTCAAGTCTGCAGATATTTTGCCCATTTCTGTGTTTGTAAAGAATCAGGAGAAACATGTCAACATTTTGTTAACAGCTGCGGCAGAAAACACAGCGGATTTAAACTCTTATGGCTAACAGTGACAAGTTTACATTCTTCTCTCTATTCTTTGAACATTTAAAATATTCACAGTTGCAGAACAGCTTACTTTGTGGGTTATTTAAAAAGGTTCCCTTGTTTTTATATCCCTTAAATAAACACTGATTTTAATTGATTTTATTAGGATTTTTGAGGGTAAGAAATAAAATGGCACATAATTGTAATGTGACAGAAAAGGTATGATTTAGAAATGCAGATACATGCATGGAGCATGTAAATTCAGCTGACTTCAATACCCCAAAATAAAAATCAGTGCAACCAATGCTTTAAAAGTCACCAAAAATGAATCAACCTGAGACTATTTTATTAAATCTAGCTCTTTTATAAAAGTGTCAAAGGTTATTAATGCACAGTTTGCTGCAGAAAACATTCTGAATTTCTGTTATTATTTGTAAGGCATTCTGATACCTCATGCATAATTTTCCTTCTATTTTACGATTATGCTGTACTTTGGTATCGGTTAATCAGATAAAATCTAAATAAAATACATTAGAATTGTTGCTTTGATGTGACAAAATTTGCAATTATCCAAGTGGTAGAAATATCTTTGCAAGGCACTTTAACCACAGCGAAATTTATATAGGAATAATTCACACTTAAGAGTAGCTACATTTACTGGACAGAAACTAGGGAATTTATTTTTAACACAATCAAACTTATCTGTATTGGCTAATTAGTTGTCAGTTGGCACTTCAAACTTTATATGATTTGTCTTTGGGGTCCTGATTGTGTATATTTGGAGGAAAGGGAGGAGACTGCATCCCAGCACTCCTCAGGGAGATGGCTTTGTGTGCATGCAAGAGGAAACAGTTGGGGAAGGAGCATAAGGCTAACCCTAATAACACTTCATATCCAGACTTTATTCTGCAGCTTGAGTTTAGACGCCTTTATTATACTGTACTTTGTTGTTTCCAACCCTTATGTAACATAAAGGTATATAGTTTCTCTTTTCGGCTTAAAAAGCTTTTTTTTCTAAGATTAAAGGGTTTGGATAAAAGGCTTTCCATAACAAAAAAACAAATGCACATTGCAGATAATGAGGCAAATATCTGCAGATGGAGATAAAAATGATGAAGGAGCCAAAGAATATAGTACGGGGCGTAATGGGACACTGTGTACCTTGATAATTTTGGCATTAATAATGTTGGACGGATTCTTCTTGGCCATCTGGGAACTTTTGCTTGTAGGCAGAAAACTCGGCCCCTGTAAGCATTTGATAAAACAATTAATTGTTATCAAAAATGAACATCTACATATAAGCAAGGATGTATACAATACAATAGTTAGACAGACAGCAAGATAACTGGAAATGATGAAAAAAATAGCAAAGGAGTTGAGGGTTGAAGCCATAAATTATCCATGAGGATTGACACCTCTCTGAACCATTTGTGTGACAAGAAATAAAATAAACAACACAGCTTCTTTTAAATAAAGCAGCTGTGATTAAGAAACTCTGAGATGTGGTGGGATTTTTCCTGAAGTCTTTTTCTGACTCTACATTTTTATATTTAATAAGATGTTAATATATTTGAATCAGTTTGATAAAAATAAAAAAATGCAGTTCCTTTGAGTTTTCTCAAGTGACGGCAGAACAGTCGGGGGTCTCCATTTTATGCAGTAAAAGAAACAAAAGGATATAAAAAAAACTATTTCAAACTTAGATTTAAGATTAAACCAAAATATTAAGAATGGAGTGAAACAAATGGTATCAAAGTCACTTTCTGATCTGGCATTTACCTGGACAGCTATGGTGTGGTTGCATAGGAAGCTCTGGTACTTCAGGGGAATGTGGACACTTTCTTTGGGTCGGACATAAACCTTTGGACCCGGAGCTCCTTCTTCCATGTGAAACATGTTCTCCTCCAGTGGCGTAGTGGTCTTCGTAAGGCCTTTGAAGTAACGCCACTCCTCTGTGTCAGTGATGACACTGGATGAAAAGATCACAGGAAGAAATGTGATCAAAGAAACATTTACATATTTTTTTAAAACCATTCTAGAAATGTGACTTGGTACATAATAAGTTTACATATGCGTGCATATATATATATATATATATATATATATATATATATATATATATATATATATATATATATATATATATATATATATATATACAGTATATATATATAATGCTGTGAGACATTGCTTGCAGTAAGTCAGAGATAAATTGATTTATGTTCCTTTAAATTGACCAAGCAGATGAGAGGGATGGGCAGGAACATCGGATTCATCTTCAGAATATCCCTTGTTTAAAAAGCCAAATTAAAGATAAAAAATAAAGAAAATAAATCTTATACATATAAAATAAACAAAAAAAGTACTAAAGGGGACATCTCACACTTTGAAGCAAATATTTGGATTTTTTTTTTTTTTTTGCATGAATCAGTTAAACATTGATAGGAAAATTGACATTTAAGAGAAACACTCAGGATGACCTGGCATCAAGGAGCCAATAATGTCTAAAGTTTAGCAGGTTAGACTTATTTGTGCTTTACTTTTTTGCCTCTTAAACAAGCTGTAGTGGGGAGTAAGCCTAATGCTGAATATTAAACAGAAAATCTAACCATCCTTAAATGATTCTACCACAAGTCAACACCTTTGAAAAATATCTGAAAATAGCCTTTGCTTAGTAAATATAGTAAAATTCTCTTTTTTTGGATTAGAAATAAAACAACCCTAATCCGATGGAAGCTAATAAAACACCAAATAGAAAATGTGAAAATAAGTGTCTGAGATAATTAACATAGAACTAGGTATGTATTAAAAACTAGTTAATACTGAACACTTAAAAAAAGAAATAGTTTAAAAGTTTTGCAAAATGACGAACAGTGCTGCAAACAACGTTTAAATAACTAAGATTTCAAAGTTCGTCAAATCAGACCGTTGACAAAAATTGATAATTATTTTTACTAATAATGCAAAGCCTTTCAAAAAATTGCAAATTTACCTCCTATTTGTAAAATTTGAGTAAATAAAAAAATCTCTCCTTGCTAAACAATTTTAGTTTTAATATTTAAAAAGCAATGATAAGCATCTAGCAACATTTATTCAGAAGCAGAAATGCTCACAGCCACTCATTTAATTTTGTGAAAAAAAAGAAAGACATATCTTTATTCAAAATTTTTCTTTTCTAAGAAACTGGAAAAGAAGAGTTGGCAAAATTGAAAAAGACTCGGAAACAGGAGTCAACAAGTCCGAAAAATTGAGCAAAAGTCCAGTTGCCTCCAATTTCAGGCTTTTTGTTGTGATTGTCTACAAAATGGAATTAGAATATTGTTATATTCTGGATCTACAGATTTACAAAACTATGAAACTCAGATGACTGATGACTTAAAGTGCAATGTTATGTCTTTAGTTTGTTATTGAGCAGGAAAGATTGAATAGAATAAGGGTTTTTTGTTCATTATTTATTACTGCATAGCAAATTTGGATGTTTAGGAAAAAAAGAACAATCAAACCTTCACTATTCATGATAGAAAACTATATATATATAGTTAAAGCAGCTGCTTCAAATGGCAACGTATATCTTGATACTGATGCCTAAATACAAATATTGTAGACTTTACTTTTAGAATTAATAGATTCCTTTTTAATCACAAATTGCTTCAGGTTAAAAACAATATAATTTTGCCAACATTTCCATTTTAAGAAGACATTTGTGTATGTTTATAAAACAAGCTAAACTCTGTATGGGTTTGCATTCATATCAAAGTAAAAACATTTTTTTCCTCTCCCACTAAAGAAAGGCATAAATTCTATTCACTCATATTTTTTGTGAGTATTTGTGTTTTTTTTTATTGAATGGGTTTTATTTATTTTCTCCCCTAAAATTTTCGATTGCCAAGAATATGATATAAATGAAACCAAACTTATAAGTTGTATACCTACAGTACGTGCAAACTTTGTGGAACTAACACAGAACAGCCTGCCCATTATGAAACATAGATATGGCAGCATCATGGCATGTCATTACTTTGTTTTACCTCAACAGAAATCAATAAAAACATTCCCTAAAATACTTCTAGCTACTGCTGCAGCGAAAGGTATTTCTACAGAGTAATATGTTGGGAGGGTAGAAAATGTGAAAACATTCTACACATTTATTTTTTGTATTTATTATCTGAAAGCAGCAAACTTAGAGAATAAAGTCTAATGTTCCTCTCACTTCACAAATATAAACTACTTTGTGTTGCTCTACCTAATTAAATCCTAACAGAGAAACTGAAGTTTGTGTTTGCACTATCTTAATGTAAAAAGCAGCAGATTTAACAGAATGACTCTCATCCTTTTTATCATACATAATCTCCTGAAATGAAGGTAATGAACCATTTCATACGCTGTTAAATTACCAACTTGAGAGGCTTGATGAAATTTACAGCTTTCTATTTATATAGGAGTGAAGAACATCATAAACCAGCGGCTTCTCCGTGGCTGACGGGAGCTGGTGCTCCGTGTCAGAAGACGACTTCTAAGCAGCTGTCCCCTGGTTCGAGTCTCAACTCCTGGCATTTAACTCCATGCCTCTCCCTTCCTTCTATGCTCCCCTAGTCAAGCTATTGATAAAAAAGGCTGCTAGTTTCATAACAACTTAAAAAATAAACACCATCTGAAGTCTAACCGGTGTACTGTCATGGGTAAAAATTCCAACAAACCCCTGAACCAAGAAGCTACACATTGGTGTGGGTTAACATGGTGACGGCGGGTATGAAAAAAAGGTGTAAAGAGGTCAAAAAAAGGCCCCGATTTTCTCCCCTTATAAAAGGATTTCAAGGGAATGGCGGCCAGAATGCGATAACCCATTCCAACAGGCGAAAAGTCTTATCTCTCCTCCTTTTCTCTTTATATGCAAAATATTTCAAACACAAATTCATTCAGGGAACGGCTGCCTTAAGACTTCAAAGGTTTGAAACCAGGGGAGTGGAGAGCGGAATTGCTCTCAATAGGAGACTCTGAGTTTTTAAATTTTTTAGAGCTCCATCTTGCCAACATTAGGCAAAGATGCTATAGTCAATTCTATGATATTTATGTGGATATTCCCACTATGACACTTGAATAAATCATTTCACCCTTGGCTAAGGCAACAAAGAGTTTGTTTCACCTGCAAGTTTTTATTACACACTGTTGGCCTGTTAATTTTAAAGTATGAGAGACCAAAAACTAAAGAAGACGAAGACAAAAACCGAGATTTGAAAACAGGACGGTGGAGGAAGCATTACTAAAAGAGAGCAGCCTTGCTCAGAAGAAACACACAGTCAGTTGGGCATCAGTCTAAGGAAAAGTGTAAAATCCCTACAAAATTGATAGCAACAGGTAGCCAATGTGTCCTCTACATCAAGAGGAGCCTCTGGGCTTGAAAACAACTGCCGACATCAAAGCTACAGCTAGCTTAGCCTTTCAATAAATACTCCGTCTTCAAAGACCGATGCTGGAATTGTGGGTGAGGGTCAGCCTTTTTTCTTGTTTGTTTCTGTGGAAAAAAGACCTGACCTGCGGCTCCCCCTGGGTTCTCAAGAAAGCTGCTTGTCAAACATTGGCTGAAATATTGATGAGGAAGTAACAACGGAGCAAAATCTACCCAAGCTGCTGCTCATGTAGTGCAACAAAGATATCACAGATAGTTTGACTTCCCCCTCTGAGACGGAGAAGAAACCAACAGAAATAAGGATGAAGGAATTACATCACACACAGAAAGCTCCATTATGCCTGCAGAACATTTCTGGAGATGTATGAGGTTTACAAAAACTTAACGTTTGCCAACACTGTTAAAGATCTTAACACTTTAAAAGCGGTTTAGCAGTGTCATGTATTACGTATGATAAAAATATACAATTTTCCATAAATATTGGAGGAGTATTATATTTTTGCATGTCTTTGATGTGTCAAAGATTAAACAAAATATTTTAAACATATGATTAAGATTTAAAGTTTACTCCACTCTCAGGTCATTAAAGACAAAAATGTCACTTACTAATCAAGGCTTTGTTTTTGGCCACTCTATAAAGCCTCGAACTCAATGCTAATTCTGACATTTTGATTTTGAAAATCTTCCTGGATGGGAAGCGAACCGTCTTCAAACTTGGAAACAAAGTCCAGTGGCTTATTTTATACGTTTTTTGGAATGACCATGACCTGGATGATAGATATCTTCAACAGCATAAAGCATAGAGTGTTTATGTGCATTTGCAAGCGTATTATTGAGTTTCAAAGTAAGTACTGCCAACTATTGGTGTGTTAGGGACATTACACCATTAGCATTTCTATGAGTGTAGGATATACAGATTGCAAATAAATTGCTGTCATTTACATTTTCTGAAACTTGGTAACAGTGAAAGTGTTTGGTGGAAACTGTCACACTGCTTTATCATAAATAAACAAAGAGGCCACGAAGACACAGAGAGGACATATAGTGGGATTGATGACTCTCAATTAGAGTAAGCCCAGTGGTCGAGCTAATGCCATAATGATTTATCCATGGTGCACTGCTGCCTTTGTTGATCAACCTGATATATGTTAATCCGAAGCTCAGGCATGATCAGAATCCAGAACAAAAGCCTTTACGAAAAGGGGATTAACAATGATGCTACATGAAAAGAAGCGGGCACGCCATGGATAGCAGGAAAGAAACAAACATCAGGAATAATGGCTGCTGTGTTTGGATTAAAGGAGATTTCTTTCTAGGCATATCACTAGCATTATAGATGCATCTGTGTCAAGGACATGTTTGTGTTACTGAAGGCGGGAGAATCTTTCTTGGCTTTTATTTTGGGCCTATCGTTCGTCTGTTAGAATGGAGCAAAATGTTAAAACTTAACAGCATATAGAAACATTCTTGTAAACTAAACTGATCTCCTTTATCCGTGTTGACAGCCTCTTTTTTTAGAAGGTCAACCTAGATGATCTAAAGTCACATTCATGTATAATTATTTGCGATTCTCTTATCCACAAAGTCTGAGGCTGGTTGCAGCTAATACTGTGCGGACCAACTGTCAATTCGTCAGCTGCATCAGGACTTTTGAGTTTGGGTGTAACACTGAAACTTGGCTTTTCAGCAGACACTGCCTTAGGGAACTGCACACAATTCATAGTTTCATGACATGTACGACCCAGAGGCAAAATAAAAAAAGAAAACATCAAATAGAAAGCAATGTTTTACCAACAAGTCTTTATTTAGACACATTTTTCTCTGTTTTTCCTCTAAGTAGTACACATAGATATGGTTTGCTCATCTTCACCTGTTATAGTGTCAGTGAGATTACATTTGTTCTAATTTTGATTCATATAAATAAACCGAAGTAAACAGAAAAAGATTTTGGCTCCGTGGCCAAACTCGTCCTAAAGGCAACGATACAACACAAGCAGATATCTAGCATTACCACAAGTGAAACCAGGGGTAGGGGGTTCTTCAAAGTCAAGAACTTAATACACGGTTAAGTAAGCTGCCTGCATGATTGATCAAATAGTCTCTATAAAGGGCTGTAAGATGATGTGAATTGGCAGTTTGTATTGAATTAACAGCCAGTTTTATTATGATCTCAGTGTAATTTAACAAGATCTGCTCCCAAAACTAGATGCAGCTACATAGAGTATGATGAAAAGAGGGGTGATGTTTTAAAAATAGCTGAATAGTTTAGCTGTCAAACAACTGACTTCTCAGTAAGCTGTGAGGATGAAACATTAATCATCATCGATACAGAGCGCAAATAGGCTCCTGAGCTTTAACATCACATTTGAAAACACATTCCAAAAGTGTGAACACGGCTTCACGTAGGAGCACGCCTCGTTACGATCTAACAACAGGAAACACATACGGCACAAAAAACCACATGTTCGCGCCTCGTGTGTTAGATTGGAGACCCACCGATATATTTACAACATCCTTCCAGTTTAACGCAGGTAACACATGTTGTGGAAACATGGGAAACTGCTTCCACTGATGAAAAAAGTACGATTGAGGCAAAAAGAAAAAAAGTTGGTCAATAAGTCACACTTAACAGGCTAAAGAAATCTTTGGACATTCTTTACACAGATACAGTAGTAGTTATCTAAAATATATACTAGGACATAATTAATAAATCAAAAAATTATCATAAAAACATCAAAAATCAAATATCTGTGAAAAGCATGTATGAATGAAAAAATGAATGTAATGAGGTACTGATGGTCTTAGAAGTGATCTCAGCTGGCATTAAAGATAGAGGAAATATCCAATAATGTTAAACTAAGTGGAAAGTTCCCTATTTGGTTCCCCTAACATTTCTGAAAGTTATTTTAATCAAATATATACATCGGTGGTTCCCAAAAGAGAAATTTAATTTCTTTCATAAAGAGAAGATATATAAGAATAACCAAATCTAAGCTTGCAAAACTCCTTTAGGTCAGCTTCCCTGTAGTGTGAATAATCACTGTTTGAAATTAAATTTCACCGCAAAGATAGCATGTTCATCAGACGAAGGCCGTAGGGGACCAAAGTGGTTATAGATGAAGACCAGAAGAAATGGTACCGCTGCCGCTGCATAGGGTACCTTAGTGCATGAGTGATAAATACAGTTTTATTAGATATATAATATAGGAAAATTGGAAACATTTTACAAACTTTTCATCAACTTTTCATCAATTTTCTTTTAAAATATTCCAATGCAGGATTAACTTGTCCAATGGAGTTGTTTATACTTGTCTATTTTTTTAAATCCCCTTTGTGTGTTTTGACAAATAAAAATGGGCCCAAAAAACCCCTAAAACTTTGCTTTAAAGAATCTTTTTTTAGTGTCAAATAATTTACTCTGAGTTATATTAGCTCAGAAATGTCCACTCAGTCCTCAAGGGCAGCTGTCCTGCGGGTTTTAGATGTTTCCCTGCTTTAGTGCAGATGATTTTCATTGATAGCTGATTATCAGGCTTTTGCTGAACTGAAATCATCAGAACCAGCTGTACTGAAGCAGGGATACCTCTAACCTGCAGGTCAGTGGCCCTCGAGGAATGACTTTGTACATGTCTGGATTAGCTTCACATTTAAATTGTAAATTAAAGACAAAAATATGCAGTTCAGACTAATTTATAAAATGAGAAGACTTATTTTAGGAGCACAAAAAGTTCTGAGGCAAGTGCTAACTTTAGCATAATATCCAAACTGTTTGTTTCTTGTCTGCCACTCTTCTACCTGTTCTTTCTGCCATGGAGTTACCAAAATGCTCCTAGATAAAAGACTAAAAATGCAATGAAGGCTTCAATGACTTTTTTGCGATAGCGTTATTGGCCAGCTCAATTAGAAGCCTTTACAATTACTGAACTCCCTATATTTCCAAATAAGGGGGCCTGAATCAGAGCTAAAAGCTGTTGAGATAAAAGCACACACCATATTTGTTTTTTCACTGCAGACAAACATTTTAGCAGAGAAAATTCAAAGGTTTTGGTTAAAAAGCTATTTCCATAGCAGTTGTTCACTTGAGGATAACCACAAAGGTTCTTTGGTGTTCAGAGATCTCGCTGTGTAGCTATAAACACTCTATCTCACTGTCTGGAGCAAGGGTCATGGACCCAACCTGATTTAAAACATTTATAAATTACCGCATGTTGTCCGACAGGAATGTCTAACTTCACTTGCCCCACACCTTCTGTTAATATGGTAAAGCATTCCAGAGTGCCGGGACCAGGCTACACGCGATGCAAATTAGCCAATGAGCTTTTTCAGTCTGGGGCGCTGCAGCAAGCCACTTTTAGACACAGCAGGCAAACCTGTGGCAAGCCAGGCGATGGGAAAGAAGGAAAAGACGATAAAAATAGAGCAGAGAAAGTGTGAGATGCTGGAAGGACTGTGGTGAACTGGTGAAAGAGAAGTGAAAAGGTGTGCTCAAAGATAACCCTGCACATTTTGAGTATGTATTCTCTCACTAAGCCACACAAAATAAAAAAAAGGGGTTTTATAAAATAAAATAGAATCAGGAAATTGTCTATATACCAAACTGAATGATTGTTGTTCTCCATGTAAAAAATGTTCTATTTTTTAATATTTTTTATTTAAAATTCAATGTATAACATGGATGCATAAAAACCTTATTTTATTTCACTGTTAAATTCTGTTTAAAATAACAGATTATAATTAAAAATGTCTCCGGACCTTTAATGGTTGATGATTTTCTTTATCCGGACCCCGCTGATTTTTAATGGGTTACTTCTGGTCTAGAGAATAGTACCTGAGCTCGGAGTCATCAGTGTGGATGGTGACCGTCTTAGGGACGTTGAAGGGATTCTTTAGGACAAACTCCATGTACTCAGCAGAGCCCAGGCTGGCATAGAGAAGGTGCTGGGTGGTGATGGCTTGGCTCAGCATGTTAGCTATTCCCTCTGCTTTGCTGTACTCATCGTTGGGTGGAAGTTCTCTGATGATACGAGCCGCTGGTTTCAGATCCTGGCAAAAAAAAAAAAAGAAAAAAAAAAAAGGCTATTAAATGTTTCACAGTAGCATCATGCTATACAAGATGATAGTCACCACCCAAAGACAATTTCTAGAGCTGCTTTAAAGTCAGTTTAGATCTGCTGTGTTCTTGTGCAACAGATCATAACTTTGGCCCTCTCAGTGCTGAGTGTTCAGGTAATGGCTTTGGAGAGTAAAATGTCATCATAACTGCTAGAAACAAAAGCCAAAGTGGAGCCGGTAAAACTCAGGTTGCACTATATCAATAATTTTCTCTGTGACCTTTCAGTGACTATTTCAAGACATATTTTAACACTTGACTGCCTCTCATCTGATTGCAGTCTTTCTGCAGAACAGGGGCCAGCTTGGATGAATGTTTTGCAAACGGGTAGGCTTAGTGCTACAGACTTTCCATCTTAGTCAAGAGTCTGAGACAATAAAAAATATTTTGCGTTATCTCTAAGAAAGTGATATTTTATTTCCACAAAATCCCTCTGATTTAACCCGTTACTGTGCAAAGAGTAGAAGTATCTGGAATGGCTGAAAACATTTTACAACATTTTGTTAAATCAGAAGAAAAACAAAGAGGAACATATGTGACAGTGTATGTAAAATATCTATTTAAACCATGACTAATAAAGGAATTATTAGGTTGTTTTTGAAAACCCAAAAATATATATATATATATATATTAGAAACCTTTAGAAATAAAAAAAATTAGGGTCACCTAATAGTTTTTTATAACTACATACCGATATAGAAAGAAAAACATAAAAATTATTATATTTCTATATTATATTTCTATAACCTTACAGTTCACCAGTTCATACAGTCAAATTGATTCAAAGTTTTCTATCTAAGGAAAACCAGTTGATTGCATCGACTCATTGACTCAAATGCAATCCCTCCCACTAAGCATGCTTGTAGTGACAGTAGAGAGGTAAAACTCCCTTTTAACAAAAAGACACCTCCAGCGGAACCAGGCTCAATGTGTTTAAGAAATATGAGCCCTTAGGCAACCTAGCAGGCAAACAGGCCTTTTAGTTCCATCTATCATAATATTAGGGATGTGCCTTGTCTGGTTTAAAGCTCTAATTAATTTTACATTCTATACAGCGCCACACAGCTCCTATCAAAAAACTCTATATGTTTTAATTTAATAAAATCGGCCAAATAGTATCATCTTAAAATATAAAATCAGATTAATTAAAATTCAGATTAAGCACACATACACCAACAAATACAAAAAGCATAACACACTATACATGACTGCTTTCTGGTCATTTTTGTAACGTACCATTTCAAAAGCCCTAAAATAATCACATTTGAATAACTTTTCAGAAAAAGTTATGGTGTGAGCACCGTTTTCTCCAGCTATGAGGAACAGTTCCTTTGGTGCTGCCCCCTACAGGTTTTAGAGCACCTGCCTCCATCATGTTTCTATTACCAGCTTGGAAAGTCCAGTAATCCCATTAAAACATATGTAACCATCACCGTTATGGAGACAACGCTTTTTGGAATGACAGTTCAAATAAGGTTTTTAGACCTACAGGTGTGTTAAGCAGCAGAATGCAGGCTAGTTAACAGTTACACCCAGGTTATTAGTTACCATATTTTCTGGAATATAGAGCGCGCTATAAGCCATGCCCACTAAATCTAATTTAAATCTTTGTCCCCTGGAGTAGGGACAAAGAAGAATGCCAGCTCCTGTTAGCTTGTAGACTCACAGCAGTAAGAGCTTCTACTGCAAGATGGGGCTTCGTCAGCTCTTTATTTCAGCTCTACAGGAGTTAAGCCCAGTCCCCTCATTGGTTCGGCAGCTTTAATGCAGCAAATAAATCGCAAAATGTGTGAATTCGGTACATTTATTCTCCGTCTTGCCTGATGCTAACATGTACTTGTTCTAAATGAAAATTTGTCCCTTATTCTTTAATTTTCTACTTTGACTTCCCCCTCTGGTAGTCAGGAAAAATCCACAGAAAAGCAGCACCTTCTTATAAGTCACATGGTTCAAAGCGTAGGGAATAAAGTAGCGGCATATAGTCTGGAAAATACAGTAAATGTTACTCAGAAAACAAAATAGGAATATATGTCCACTGAAAAACTTTAGTTTAATGGTTTTTACTCTAGCCTTCAATCTCTTACTTAATATAACACATATTTTTTTATTTTTCAACTGTTTTAGCTAAAACTGACCTTAAAGTTTTACGACTGCTTGTGCAAAAATAGATCTACAGATTAACAGATTAACTACAGATTTAGCTAAAACAGAATTTGTAAACAAATGATTATCATAACAATAAAGAGTCGACTGTCATTGTTACTAAAGTGACTATTAAGAAATGTTAGGTGTTTTTTTGTTTGTTTCTCAGCTTTTTAGAGAAGCATGTAACTAAAAATCTATGTGCACATTACCGTAACATCAGTTGCTTTGGTGTTTTGTTTAGCCTCCAGTTGACGCACGGCAGCCATGCAGTCCAGCTTCCGCAACCTGCTATCACTGTTCAGGTTTGGGGCTTCGGTGGTGATGTCATGGGCTGTCCCCCTATCTCTGTGCAGCAGCATCCGATCTCCATCCAGCCTGTGTGCAGTGTTTCTCGCTGCCAAGAAAAGAAAGGCTGCAGTGAGGAATTCCTTCACTGGGGAATCTTTTCTCATCTCCAGCTTTAAAAAAGAATTTTAAACAAAGATAATATCTTAAATAAATGTGTTTCCTCAAATTCTTAAGTTTTTTGGCAATAATAATGCTAACAATAACAGGGTCTAGATTTTAGTAATGGGTGAAATAAAACTAGACTCACTGAAAGTGGTCATAAATCAGAAAAAAACGTAAATGAGCAGAGTAAAAAAGTAGGAACAAAAGTACTCGGTACATCAGCAAATGGTTTAATAAAGAGAGGATGGAAAGAAAAAAACCCATAGATGTATAAAGTGGGCTTTTATTTAGGCCCTTCAGGAACATTACCTCCTGTGTTTGTTGTACACCAGGCATTAGACCTTTACTAATTTTCCCATGCACTCATCAGTTTTCTACAGCTCTCTGGGAGCATCTCTTGTGCATTAACCCAGTTCTGTTTTGTTATGTACAACTTGTAGAACAAACTTTGTAAAGCTCTGGCATTTGCTTGTTTTTTCTCCATTTGAACTGGATTTCTTTATACCACATGCTCTGCTTGTATCCGCTCAGTGAGCCTTAAACCTTTCTGTCCAATCACAAATGACAACTATGATGAATTTAAGTTGCTTACTGTATTCTGCTGTCTTTGAATTCTTGGTTAGATGTGCTGTTTTGCCAAAAAATGTAAGGCAATTTTAAAGCAAGCTTTTAAAACATTGCTCTGTGCAAAATTCAAATAGAAAAAAGCTGGTTATAAATATTTAACATGTAATTTGAGATGCTTTCCGAAAGGTAGCAGTTTTAATCAGCTGGCATGTTTGAAATAAGAACAGGCTTTGTGATTGGTGATTTGAAATAGCACTTTGAATATGAAAAGCCACAACAAATCAAACATGTTGGTTATTCTTCCACAAAATGGATTGTTGCTTGTTTTTTTTCATCTTTTTTTCATTGTTAATGCATTTTTTTTCAATTGTTTCTTACCAGTGTCCATAAAGGATCACAAATATTCCAAATTTCTCAACTGTAAACCCTTAAATTGAAGTATAAATGAAATGCTATATATTATGCACACCAAATATTTCCATTAGGTTCACTTTTAATACTGAACTTGCAAATATAGCAACCTGGTTGACAGGGCAAATAGCTGAAAGGAGTATTTATTTCCCTTGTTTTTAAAGCTTTATCATGAGTAAATTACTGCAGGGTTTAATAAGATAAAAACAGCATTTTGCTCTGAGGTGCAGAGGGTCTGGAACTACCTTCATTTGGACTTGAAGTCGAAGGATTCTCCAGTCTGCTTTAAAAACATATCAAAACTCCTTTTTTATATATTATTTTTATTGATTTTATGCATTGTGTGCTCCTGCAAAGCCCTATGTGATTTTTTTTTTTATCTTCAAGAACAGTTTAATTACTCTAAAACCTCTTAAGCCCACAGGTCTAAAAAAAGGCGTACTCATACTTTATAGGGCCATTCTCAAACGGTACACTGCCTAAACTTCTTATCAAGTTATCAAGTGACATAAAGGTGGAGGATAATGTGGATGGTAAAACCAAAAAGTAAATTATTCAGGGCCTGAGTAAATTAGATTTAAATGGCCAATTATATAAAAAAGAAAATCCAGATGTTTACATACATAAACATAATAAACTGTAAATACAACATCTTGGCTATATGTAGAGCACGTTTGGTGTCCATCCAACAAGCAACTAAGAAGTTATAGATTTTTGGATTGAAAAAAACTCCAGGCATAATATCTAAAATTTTAAATTTATTCTTGAAATTTTAACATGTGGAATGCTCTTATATATTTGGTAAGAAAATTTCAGCTTTCCTTCAAAAAAAGTTGTATTTATTTCACCACTCTAAATACTCACTATATATACAAAGTTAAGTGGCAGACAGATGCATGAAGATGAACAGGTGTATCTAAATAACCATTTGTCCAATCAGGGAGCTTCATAGGAAAGGTCACATTCTACAGAATCCGATGATATGCACAAATTTGAGACAAAGGCTCCAGCGAATCACAGGCAAGAGTAGCAGAGGTCTTCATGATTTACACACAGTTGCAGTTTCCAAATATGAGCTTGCTGCAGTACTGTAATACAGAGATAATAAGAAGCTTTTAGCTCAATATTAAACTATGCTTGGTACCATAGGAACAGATTTTTTTATTGGAGAAGCAAAGATGCTCGAGTTGCACATCAGAACTAAACTTTTACAAGCATAAAAAATGAAGCAGCACGCATGTTTTTGCTGCTTCTGCTGCATGCGATCTGATCATAGCATCACACTTAATGAGCTACAAGATTATTATTGTTGCAAAAGAGCTGCAGCTCCTTCTAAAGGGGCTCGACAGCCAGTGTTCTCAGTATCAATCATTTCTGGTGATATTCATTAAATTACTGTTGCAAAGACAACATTTACCATACATCCAAACTGACAACAAAATGAAAACATCTGCAGGATTACAAAATGACATCAATTCATATAACCAACAGTCGTAATCCCGTTTTAGCAAATTGATGTCAAACCTGGTACATTGCAAAGCTCTTTCTTAACCTGCAGGATCTACAGCAGCAGGAAATTGACTGCTTTCAAAACTGTACATCACATGTACCTTTCAGGTAAAAAAGCAGTTTGATTTTTTTATGATTAAATACACCTTAAGCTTGACCCAGCCTGTTTGTTGTTTCCATCCACTGCTTGTGTATGTAATGGATTTTCCATCGGCATCTAAACATTTTCCCTCACCTCAAAAAATATGTATGTCATAATTTGTGTCTAAAGCTGCCCTTTTAAGGTTAGAAAAACATCTTTGTAATGTAATGCATGGCTAACATGCCCAAGGTTTTCTCCAAAAGCACATGACTGAAAAGAAAAAAATGTGAACAAGAAATGAAAGGAAAGGCTAAACTATTTAAAAGTGATAAATGAACACTTGCCATTTTTATGGACTTAATTTATCCTGATTTAATTTGGAGTTTCATAAAACTTTCTCTGTGAACTATATTTCTAGGGCGTCTGCTTCCAAATAAATCCTTTGATGTCTGCTATTCTTCTCTGATTTCCCCTCCTTGTATGACTCCTTATTCTTAGACCTTTTTCCAAGTCTCATTATCAAAGCGGTATCAGGCTGGGAGCCAGTGGGCTAACCCGATAGTGTCTGGCTATCCTTCACAGCCACAGGCAGGAAGAAGTGGGGCAGGAAAGCGACACACACACCCACACACAACCCAGTGGTGTGGGACTTCATTGCACACTCTGTCTTACTGTTATGAATGGGCTCCAGTGAAAGCATTTAGGTACACTGTATGCTTAACCGGCACGCTGAGGTGAAGTGAAGGAAGCAGAGAATGTAGAGGAGATTAAAAGTAGGCAGGCTGCGGTGGGGAAGATATGTGGAAGACTTAGTAAACGGTAAACAGCCTGTGTTCGTTTATAGCAGTAGGTGTGAGTAACTGATTGCGGCAGTCTGTGAAGTGATTGTGAAGTGAAACTATTTGTAAATATTATTTTGAAAATAAAATCTGACCTGCATTCAGCTTTGAAATGCATATCGGTTTATTGGTGCTCTGGTTACGGCGAGAAATGACAAATCCTCTCTGCAGGCCAATCTGCAATTCCATACCTGCCAGACGCGCTTTGTATCACCCTAAGCAATTCTACGCTTGTTTTATATGTCTAACGTGATGCCTCTAACTGGGAATGTGTGAGTTTCTGAAATAGTTAAAATTCAAGGCAAATTTACCAACAGCAGCCCAGTTGACTGATGATGGCTCGCTTAATTGAGGGAAAAATTGGTTTCCCCCCTGTGTGTCTGTGCGCCTTTGCTAAGGCCATGCTTGTGCACATATACACACACACACAGTCAAAAAACACAAACAGGATTGTGGCTAACCACTAGAGACGCCTCTGCAAGCTCAATTAGCCTGAAAATTGAGTGGTTCGGTGGTGCAGCCAGCAGAAAGAATGTGAAATGTATCTGGGTGAGCTGATCAAGGCGGCAGCAGCATGGTGAGTGCCCAAATAAAAGATATTAATTCCTCTGTGGCTGGGCCTCCACTCAAATAAGGGCTCAGACACACACTGACAGCTGAGTGGAGAAGCTAAAATGTGAAATTATCTGATTCAGATTACTTGTTGGTGCCCTTTAAAGTCCAGAAATAAAAGCACCTGTTATTGCATTAGCATAATTTCCTTCTGAAAACTGAGAAATATAAAACATTCAATTTGACTACATTGTTATTTAAATCAAGGTAAGGAAACGGTTGTTTATAACAAACAACACATGTGAGACAGCCTTTAAAATTAACACAACTGAAAAATGTTTTTAAGTTATACTGCATATTTTTTTTTAGGGTAATTAGAACTTAGAAATTTCTCATTAGTAGCCATGGACTTCTCTTTCCCCTGGGGTATAATTGCAGATGCTTTTTGCATGCTGACCTTGCTGGATGAGTTCAGCAGGGTGAAAACATTTTTTTTTTTAAAGCTCTCTGCTAGAGAACCGCAAGAAGAGGTGGCATCACTGGATCACGAAACTTAAAACTATTTCTATCATAGCTGATCTTTGGGAAAGAACAAGAACTCCTATACCATCAAACATTTTAACCACTCATGTAAACTCTACTAAAATTGTAACTGTAGTCTTGTCTATTGATTAGATCAGCTTGACTGATTTGGCAAAAAATTTATATTTCAAAATAACCGTCTGATGCCCTCTGTTAAAGATATATTTTTACTGAAATATATCTTTAAAATACCCTATTTGCTTGACCCTTGTAGTGTTGTCACGATACTAAACTTTTCAACTCGATACCGATACTAAGGAAAATATTTGATACTCGATACCATTTTCGATACCACAAGAATAAAAACAAAGACTCCAAAAATCAACACAAATTTTCATTAATAATAAAAATACAATAAATAAATACAATAAACAATAAGAAGAATATTTTGAGGTTGTTTGCTGTGCACAATATTAAGCAAGCTTGGTAAAAAAAACTTACAAAACTAAAATTAAGTGTTCCTTCCTTGGCTATGCTTTGCACACATAACAATGACACTAGCCAATCCGGTTAAAACAAAAATAATTCTCAGCAGCTGCACCTCTTACAAAAAAAGTCTGAAACTGAAAAGTGCACAGAATTATTCAATCACACAGTGTTCTGAAAGTGCATTTTCCTCTATTCTGCACTTTAGATGAATGACTGTTTAGGTGCCACTGGTGGTGGCACTGTATCGATACTTTAAAAAACGAGTATTGTATCCGGATACAACGTTTTAGTATCAATACTTTTTTGAGTATCGATACTTTTGACAACCCTAGACCCTTGTTAATTAAAATATAGTTTGATGAGCAGACTGACACCTCAGTAGTTAAGCTTTGATGCAATTATAAACCTGTGGCCTAATTTTCTGTATTTACTTCGGGTTTGAGGTTGTTGTGCTGTTCGGTCGATGTGACGTAAAATCAGGTTTCCTACAGCATAAAGCAAGTTAAATTCAAGACTTTTTAAGACTTTTTAATGCCACTTGAAATAAAAATGTAAGACCAAATTCACAAGAAACACAAGAAAAACCCGCTTGCGACAACTTAACCCAAAGGTTTATTTTAACATAAGCCACTGCACTAATGTTTCAAATTTTGAAGAGCTTCCCATACAGAAAGAAAGCTAAAAACACACAAATGACAGATATATTTTAACAATTATTTAACTGAATTCACAAACTTTGTTTTAGCAGGGAACAAAACAAATAAGTTTTAAAGCCAGAACATAACCAGTGCTAAGTCTGTTTTGCAGCTATTTTTCTTTGTATCGTTTTCTTAGTATGTTTGATTTGATAAGTGGAGGCGCTGTAGAGACAAGGGTGGAACAAAACTGAGAAATACCGGCTGTTTCTCGGTAACTTGATTTTGACACTTTGTGTTTCCTGCTTTGCATGTGCGAGTCCCCTGCCTTAATTCCCATCGTTCCGAGCTTGAATGACTTCTTGCACAAAATACACTGTGCCTCATGTATGTTTTCAATTTTAATCTTTTATTTAGATTAGAAAAATAAATCGTAATAAAAATAATCCTATTTATGATGTTTTAAAAAATAAGACCTACGAACAACTAACTTAAGAAATTTTAATACCAATAAAGGCCTTAGTTTTATTTTGAAGAATTCAATGCCTTTTATTACTTTTTAAGGACCCGCGGGAACCCTGAAAATGCATCCATGTTAGATGAGTCAGACCTTGCAAACAATCAAAGAGTTAAATTCAATATGGGTTTTGTGGATACTCAGAAGCAACCGACATCCACATCAACTCAGATACCAATGGCAACTCCACGTAAGTGGAAAAAAGTAATATATATATAACAATGAGTGTGACAATGAGCAGAAGACCCTGCAGTACTGTGTTATGGTTACAGGTGGCAGTATCATTAGAAAACTCCGTAATGCCTCTTTTGAGCACGGTAAGGAATATATTATGCTCTGGGCCTGCTTTTCTTTCACACAACCTGTCAGCCCCGTCAGAGTGCATGGCATTATGAGTGCATTGATCATTACACATAGAAATCTGGTGGCCTCTACGTGTTAACTACATTAATCTAGGCCAAACTAATACAAACATGGGTCACTAGACACCTTGTTTTATGTATGGCTCTGTCTAAAGTTTTGAGTACGTCATTAAAAAGAAAAAAACATAAGAGGAGAGCGGGGACAATCTCAGATTATACAAAGAGTAATGGTGACAGATGCCGTATGCGTTAAGCTGGATGCAAAATGTTATTAGATTGTAACCTCACAATTAAAAAATTGTTCTTAGTGATAGCAACAAATGCATCTGTTTGGTTTTTGAAACATATTTAACAGGATGCACTGACCATTGAGTTGGAGGGCGTTTCTGGGTGACAGAGGTCCTCCTTTAAAACCACCGCTGACTGGAGCAGGTTTGATAATGTGAGAATGAGATGCAATCCCGTCCACTTCTCTCTTCTTGCTACGGTCAACTGGACATCCTGAAAGAAAACAAATAAAGTAATAATGACTACATGTGAGTGATGAAGCTCATTACACTGATAAATAAACCTTTACAACAAACAAAGACACAATTGTTTTTGTTTTTCAAAAGCTGCAAAAACTAAGAATGGTGTCAGACCACATCTAAATAGGAGATCCATCAAAAGGATTTGTGTGGCATTAACAGTCAGCTTCTGATTAAAACTCCCTGGATCAAAACTTCACAATTAATTGTGTGTGACAGGGCTGTTTCATGGTTTTATAGTTAATCCTACTTTAAGGAAAACTTACATTTATAAGTTGTTCTACATAATTAGGCAGGTCTCTGGAATATGGATATGAAAAATTATCATCTTAAGAATGGAAAATGGGAAATAATGGCAAAATTTAGAACAATAGCCTGAAAAATCAAAAGAGGAGGCAGTGAGCAGTGAAAAGCTGCAAAGGAAAGACCTAATAGGACCAAAACAAGGCTTTGCTGGGCATCTCGATAAAGCTTGGAACTCAATGCTAATTCTGACATTTTGAATTGAAAAAGCTTCCAGGACGGAAAGCGAAACGTCTTCAAACTTGGAATACAAAGTCCAGTGGTAACTTTTTTGGAATGACTATGACCTGGATGAGTGGGAATCTTCAGCATGTGTTGATAGATACGGAAATATATCTTTTTTGCATAAGATACTTTCGGAGATGCATTTGGGATGTCGATTGACAAATATAGAGGAAAAAAGTGCCCTCATTAAAATAAGTGTAGAGAGTGAAAAGGCTATTCTACAATGACATACCAATTATCTTCAAGCTAAAGCAGTCTTTATAATAAAAAGCAAGTAAGAAAAATGAAGAAACAGGTAATACATCATTGATTAGAAACCTAGTTTCCACTAAATTATTCAGCACTTAAATCCAGGGGGCATATTTCATCATGGATATAAACATTTGGAACAAATTTTCACCCTTTTTTAACAAAAGTTAATGTTTTAATCTTTGTTTTATATAAATGCTTCCTGGTTTACCATGGACACATTAGTTTTGCATTAATTAGGAGGGGGGGAAAAACTCTTTCCATTGTTCATCTGTCAATTTATCTTACAAAAAGAAGTATACACATTTTTTTATCTGCATAGTCAAAAATGGTATCAAGTATTAAGTATTCTTGATACTGGTGTCAAGTTAAAAGCTTTGGTAGCAGTTTGAGTTAAAGTCTCCAATACCTCAATGCAAAGTAACAAAATGATATATGTTTGCAACTTTACAGCCAAAAATATGCCCAAGTAGCTACTTGTAAAAATCTACCCAATACCTTTGATTACATAGAAGACTGTGATGCCAGCATGCGGTTGACAGAGTTTTAATCTAAGGTGTAAGAGTCAATGGGATGGATGTACAAACATGATCCAAACCACTGATAAGGTAAAACTAAGAACAATTCTGAATACATTTGTACCATAAGTGAAAACATAACACCTAATGCTTCTCAAAGATTATTACACTCACTGACTACAGGACAAACAGAAGAGAGAAAAATAAAAGCTTGGCAAACATTGTTTTTTTAATCTCTTGCTAAGAGTCTTTGGGGGCTTCATAAAAGAACAATCTGTGAGGATGAGCCACAGAACAACTGAAAACAAAAGCTAAGAGGCAACAGAAGAGCTCGCAAAGACAAAAAACTATGCCTGTAAGTAAAAACAGCCACAAATCTGCATAATTATTTGAACAATTTATGATCTACTTTATACAATATAAAGAATAGGCCGTTATCCAAGTAATTCGCTACCCTTCATGCTTATTGGCATTGTTTTATTAGTGTTTGGAGCAAAAAGGAATCCTGCTGATTCTATGGAGAAAGAAAACACTGGGATGTGCCTGAGGACACCAGCAGGGGCTCCACAAATAGATCTCCTCTCAGTTTGATTTCATCAAGTTTAGTTTGACGAGCATGTGTTGCTCAAGTTTTTTTCCCCAGCAAGTTTATTGATTCTTTTATTTTCATTAAGAAATAAATCCCTTCAAGTAAATATGACAATAGAAGGAAAACAGATTTATTACGGACTGAGTTATATTTTTGATGATAATTGATCTTAATCAGATTGCATTCTTATGTCCCTTTTAGGATAATGACTTGGCGATAGAGGCATTAGAGAAGTCATTTTTCAACATATCAAGCCAGGATAAGATCATGGGTATAAATTCTGCTTGTTTTATTGCGTATACATTAACAAAAAATTGGCTTTGTCAAATGAAAAAGGTTTGCAGACTTCATTCGGACACCAAAGCTGGCAGAATGATGAATTATTTTGAGTGATGGGTAGTTTTGGTTGTCAGAGACGTGACTGTTGAACACATAGTTTCAGATGGGAGTGGCGGCCTAGTGATTAGCGCATAGAGCTTGGAATCCTGAGGTTCTGAGTTCGAGCTGCACTCTCATAGACTGCCACTCTGTCCCTGAGCACAGACCCTTAACCCCACACAGCTCCCGGGCGCCTACGATGGCAGCCCACTGCTCTCCAAGGGAATGGGTTAAATGCAGAGAATAAATTTTGTTGCTCTGTACTTGTGACAGTGGAATGAAAATAAAGAAGAAAAAACAAAAATATAGCTATTAAATGTCATCCTCACGTGACTGTCTAGATTTCTGATCAGGTATCTAAAGGAACCTTCTGTATTGATTAAAATATCCTTAATAAAATCTAGTTTAAACCATTATTTAAACTACAACAAATACTGCATTGTCTTAGATAGGAGATAAAACTTGTCTTTTCACGATATGATAGCAACAACCATTTTCATTCAATTAATGTAAGTCCATATTATAATTTTATCTTCTTTTTTAAGTTTAACTTGAACTATAAAAGTAAATGATAATCAGTATCAGGTATGGACCAGTAGCAGATTTTTATGATATGCAAGTCTTTAAAGAAAAAAAAAAAATCACAAACATTTACAACAACCTCGCAACAGATAATATTTTTCTAGCCAACCTGTCCTTCATAGAGTATTGCAAGTATGACAAGCCGATATTAACTGGGTAATTAGTAGGGCTATCTGCTCAGGTGGTAAAGGCTGCAATGCTTGCCAAATGTAAAGGAAACTCTGAGCTACAAGCATTATGAAAAGTGATTTCAAAGACTCATTCAGCTGCTATGAGCCATTATTATCAAATACCACAAGTCAAAAGTTTTTTCATAATTTAAAGCCCAAGGGCACTTTTTAAAATAAATAAGATTAATTTCAAACAACTGCAGAACAGAGGTAAAACTACATTAAAATTGTGAAGAAATTAACTCAATTTTAGCAATTATTATATTAATACTAGAAGCGTCCGGTTTCTACATTGCAGCATAACAAAAGAGGTGCTTTACTGAAACGTTAGCATTTTTTGAGGGGCTGTGTAGCTCCTATTTCTGTGTGCACTCTCATATGAAATACAGCAAGAGCTGCAATTAACTGCCTCCACTGTCCACGACTGACACATCGGATAACTTGCAGTACTAGTAGTATGGGAAGCCAAAAGCACCCTCCAAATCTTGTAGAGGAGAACTCTTTCATCACCAAACAGATAATGGGCAGCAGCTAAATGAGTAATGGGGAGTCGGTGTTGCTATGCAAACAGAGGCAGACAGCGCTGTTCTGCAGATTAATGGGAGAGGTGTCTGCCCATCCCAAAACTTTCTCCTCATCATCCATCACCCTACACTGGCCGCACCATTCAGCCGACGGTATTCGCCCAAGTTACATCTTCCCAAATATTAGGTTGAATGTATTACTTTTGCTGTAGAGTGTAGTGAGCATATCGAATCAATAGCAAAGCAGATCTTATTCCCAATGCCCTATCTTAAACCCCCCCACCTGTTAATCCTTCTGTTAAGATGTGCTTGATGGTTTATAGGATTAAACAATAGATCATTATGGGTGTGATAAGATGGTTTTATAAGTGGGTAATGAAACAATGTAATGATGGGGAACTCAAATATAAACCAGATTAATTGGATGTCACTCAGAGTACTGTTAGACTCATTGAAGATCAAATACTTTTAGTGCTCATCAAGTTGAGTCAAATATCTATCCACTTCTACTGAATCACAATGACTTGCCTGATAGTCATCAACAGTGGAATTTAAACTAAAACACCAACAGGGAGAGTACTGCATATCATTTCTAGCTCAGTATAATCTGTATGGAGCAAAAAGGGGTGGAAAAAAGGAGCTGGAGTCTATCAAATGACTCAACTGCCCTACCTTTTGCATGACAATAGCCCCACCTGCTCACCCCATTTGCCCTGCTAGCAGTTCTTGAGGTGAAGGCCATAACAACCCACTGATTTTCAGGTTTCTGGAACAAATGAGAACAAGTGCCTGGAGGATTTCAAAGTAGCCTGCAGTATTCGATTTCTTCTGCCTCCCTTTTCCAGGCCACTGACCTTTCAGAAGATGCAGATTCAGCCTCACCTCAAGGCTATAGGCAAGTCTGATATAGTCAGGCATAATTGTGCCAGCAGCATGTGTTTTAATGAGAGGGTCACTTCATTGGACTAATGTAATGTATGTGTAATGTAAACCCAAACTAATGCCAGGTACATTTCACTGATATTTTATCCAAAATGTGACAGAATTGGGTAAAGCCCTCTACTTTCTCCAGTTGAAAAGCCAGGTTCCTGAGTGCTTATCAGGCCTCTGCACATGTGGAACATTCAGGTCTGCAGAAGGTTCTAATCTGCCATTTCTTGTGCACGTTTAGTGTTTTAGCTTATCACGTAGGCTGAATTAAACCATTGACTTTATTTCTGACAGTTTTTCCATTACATTTTACAGTTTTCTCAAACAAAAAGTGAACGTTGCTGAGTTTAATGAAGCACCTACACATAATTGATGAAAATATTCAAATTTGAATTTGTTTATGGTTAAAACTGGCATCAAAGGATGTCATTAAACACATTTAGAATGAAACGGATAAAAAGGAGAAGGATTTCCATTGGTCCTATCATCTAGACCAGCGGTCCCCA